CAATTGTTGTGTTAAGAATTATCATTACACTGAAATAGATTGCAGGATTAATTTGTGGGGAAAAGGTGGATTCAAAGCATTTTTAATCATGTATCATCTATAAACTATAATCTAAAATCTAGAAGCGCTACCACTAATACAAAGATTGTTTATATTTCTTGAATTGAATTGAAATGTATTGTCCCTTTCAGGAAATACTCTTTTCACTGGTTTTCATAGGCCTACATAATACAAGAAGAAATACATAGAATACAATAATATCGAATGTACATCGTCACAAACATAATAACATTCTGAAAATGATTGCCTTTTATACCGGGTGTACCGAAAATGGAGATTTGATTATTAATACTACGATGGCAAAAACTAATGCACTTCGAGTTGGAGTCGTATGCAATGACTATGGCCTATAATAGTGCCTATAGAAATGGTTCGGATAATTATATCATTCATTCATTGTCCTGTCTACACACGATAGGTTGACGTACGATACGTGCGAGTACAAGTTTTGGACGGATGTGATACAATTCATAATGCTTTAATTATTTTATAGGTTAAAATTAGCCTTGGTTAATTTGTTCACAACGAATAGACCCCTATATTTAAAAAAAAATAGCTTACCAGTAAGTCCGGTTGTACCGGAAAATCGAGAATGCTTGACGTGAAGTTCTGGGCTGGGTGGGTTCGAAGCATCCAGAAATACACACGCACTGCAGCCTGCTGGTAGTATACACAGTGCAGCACAGTCGTTCGTAGCGCGGAGTGGGGAATCCCCACCCTGGAAATCCCCACAGCCTATAATAGCCATGCAGATCCGTGGATCGAGCAGTCTTTTTGTATGACGTCTTGAAAAATGAAATAGAACAAAATTGTGAACTATTGCGTTATTTCAGTTCGTTATCAACACGAACGCAAATATATTCACAGAGGCGGCCCTCCCGCGGGGAACAGTGCCCCCTCACTTTTCCAGTTACCCCAAAGTGCCCCCTTTTAAAATATAGGACAATTGCCCCGTTTCCTTTTTAAGAACTGCCCTATATATCCCCTTCTAATAAGTTTCCCATTTCCTTTTGATAAGCACACCCCCCCCCCATAATAAATAAGATCCCCTTCAACTTCTCACCAATTTCCCTTTTCACTTCTGATAAATGCCCCTATTCAAAGACTAATAAGTGCCCCTTTTCCTTTGAATAAGTGACCCTTTTCCATTGTCATAAGTGCCCTTTTTCATCTCTGATATCATATGTGCCCCTTTTCAGGTGCGAGAAGTGCCCCCCTCACCTGAGATAATTCCCCCTTGGCTATTCAAATCTGACAGGTACAACTAAGTCCCCTTTTCCTTTGTAATAACTGCCCCCCCCCTTCCCTTCTGATAATTGTTCATTTTCTTCTTTGATGAGTGCCCCTGTTTATCTCTGATAAGTGCCCCTTTTATTTTCTGATAAGTGCACCTTTTCCTTCTCATAAATGCCCCTTTTTCACCTCCTATAATCTCCACTATCAAAATCTGACAGGGGCCCCTTTTCCATTCTCATAAGTACTTCTTTTTTTTTTATCTCTGGCGAGGGCCTCTTTTCAGGTGCCAGAAATTCCAATTTTCACCTTTGATGTTTTTGCCCTTTTTCTTTAACGTGTTTCCATTTCGCTTTCATCTTTCATTTTTCTAGACAATTAATAATATTTTTGAAAATCAATTAATTATAACAAACCATCCAAGATCACTGCAATCACTATAGCATTTCGACCCCCCCCCCTCCTCTTTCCCCTTCCAAAGGTATGAATGTCGCTCTAAAAGCGCAGACCTTTGGTGTTCCACTTTTCCAGGCGGAATAATATTGATTATTAAAATAAAATAAGATTTTATAAGTTTATCTACGTTACGGAATTCAGCGGGCTAACACTTTGATTTGTTTCAAGTTTTCAAGTTTTATTTCAATTCAAATCCATTAAAAACATATAAGATACAGATTATATGCAATATACTAAACACACATAAAATGGAAACATGTCTACAAATATACCGGAATTATACAAAGTTAATCAGCAATTGAAATGAATTGGGGAAACTGCAACTAAAACCACAAGGTTCTGTCTGCGGCAGTCCCTGTTATTAAAAGATACATAAAAGTTCTAACAATTGGCTATACAAAATATAACAATAACAAAACAGTGTACTAAACATAGTTTTAACATGCAAATATTATTATATATTTAAAAACATGATGAAGTATTTTTTAATTCAAGATTTTAAAAGAGTTAAAGAAAGTAATATCACGGATATCTCTGGGGAGAGAATTCCATATTTTCGGGCCAGTGTGTCTAAAAGTAAATAAAGAACTTGTTGATGGTCATTTTTCAATAAAATAGTTATAATTTCTAGTATTATAATTATGAACAGATTTTTTACATTTCATCATAGTGGTAAGATTAATCGTCGGTAAATTATCAGTTGTATGTTTAAAAACCATGAGTGATATACGATATTGATTCAATTGAAAAATATTTAAAAACTGTGGTTGTTGAAGTAATGGTATTGAATGGGCATTCAAATCAGACATAAGACATATCCTTACTACACGCTTTTGTAATATATGCAGTCGTTGTAATCTCGCTGGGTATGAGCGGCCCGTACAACATTACAATACATTAAATACGGTAAAACCATTGTATTATACAATATAATCAAAATAGTTATGGCAAGATATGACGTAATTTGCTGATTAGTAAATGATATTATTATGTTTGACATTAATAGGCCTAGTACGTGTTAAAAAGGCAAGGAGGATGATTGATTCAATTCTCATAGAAGAAGAAGAAAACAATGATTTCAATATTCGATTCCAATGAGTTTTTTAGGGTACTACATTTTATATTACTTAAAGTCTGAGTGCAAATGTTTAACTCTGACACTTTTACTTTTGACAATATTTTAACTCCTGTATTTTTACCCCTGGCTTTTTTTTACCTCACATCAAATGTTCTGGGTAAGAAGTATAAACTGTCATAATTGTGTTTTTGGTCGGACTCCTAGCCAATACTCGTTATTAAAGGTACTATGTCCCATTTGCAGGCCCAAAAAATGAAAAAGTTAAATTCCAACTGCATTTGAAAGATAATACTTATTTAGAACTTCCCTAAAAAGGTGGGGCTTGAAAATGTCTTCAAGTGGGAAAATAATGACTATTAGTTGTCAAATCGACTTTAGGGCTATAGAGCCCCAAAGTAATAGTCTTGATTTTCAGACAATTGTACCGAATGGTCATACGTTTTATGCTGCGCAAAGATTCAATCAGTTTAATCTTGGCCATCACAAGAAGTGGGTTATTGACGTAGACAAATGCTCATGTACCCTTTACAACTCTTTTCATGTATGTTATATAACATGGTAATATTACCAAAGAAGAAAAAAAGGCCAGTCAGTCACTCAATAATGTCTGACAGTGAAGTCTAGCAAGTAAACAGATTTCCTTGCATAATTTGAATATGAGGACACTGCTAACGTTTAAATTTCACAGATAGGACATACATGACATATTCATAATTCCTGCAAAGTTCTACAGAATTTGAGGTTGGCTGCAAAAGGGACATATAGTACCTTTAACATTCCTAAAAAATATTCTCAGTCTTCTCCATAAGATACTAATCTAAGGAAGAAATGGCAATAAAATATATGAGGTTGAATCAATGGGCCAAGTGAAATATCTGGACTAAATCGATGCAAGGGGAATCATGAAAGTAGGGGTAAATCATGAAATAAAAAAGCGCAGAGTTGCTTTAACCGAGTCATCACTGACATAATAGTAATAATAATGTTCAATTCCAGACAATGACAATGACAATTTATTCTCATGCCCCCCACATTGGGGTATTGAAGAAGTTAACAATCAGTTTTAATTTTCAATTTAACACTGTAAAATATACAATACAAATCGAATTAATGTTAATCAATACAAAATGATACTATCGACAAGTGAGAAAAATTATAATGATAATAATAACAATATTATTAATAATAATCATTTATAATAATTAAAAAACAAAACGATGATAAAAATTACAACGATAATTAATGACGAAATTAATGGAATTTTGGGAGTACACATGCAGTCCCTCCGACTCCACTGGGGCCGGGGGGGGGGGGGGGGTCGGGGAATGAAAGCTTTGAAGATGAACGGAGATTACGAGTAAGACAGTCGGTCGACGACTTTTGCAAATACCTTGGAGCATCATTGTGTTTCATGTATACAATTGTTAAGAGTTAAAGCGAATCTATCTCTTTCAGGTATCCTGTACGTATACAACACAGAAGTAATGTGATGATACACGTCTTTTGGCGGGAAAGTAATGAAAGAGAGAAATAGATTACACTACAAGATCATAAAGAGAGAATAATTTAAGGATTGGTATAGGAAGAAAATGATAGACGTGATAAAAACAAAGAAAAACGTAAGAAGGTATTGCATTTTAGAAGGAAGAAACGAAGAATAACACAAGGAAAGGCAGAAAGAGATGGTGATAGAAGATAAAACCAAAGAATAACATAAGAGAAGGGGATATATTGAGGACGAAACGAAGAATAACATAAGGAATGGTAGGAAGAAAGTGATAGAATTTATAAAAATAAAAAAAAAACATAAGAAAGGTGATAGAAGGAAGAAACAAAGAAAAATTACATGACGCTTTTAGCCCAAATATTTATTTTTTATTTACGCTCGTAGACAAAAAGTTTTAAGTGAAAATTACAGAAATTTCATAGATCTATTCACCAATTACCAGGTACTTTAATTGTAACATTGTCAATAAACAAAATGCTTTTAGTATGGTTCTTTATGCCGGGAATTAATAATATATGTATATATATATATATTCAACAATTTCTGAAAGTATGAATTGAAAAGAAGATCATTTACCCACAAAAAATGTAAAAGAACATGACGTTGTTGTTCGTTTGGTATTATAATGGACTTTGGATGGTGGTATTTTGCCCCATCTGGATAACGAAACTTTTTTTTCCTTGTAATTTTTTTAGTGTTTGTAAGACACCATAGCACTGAATTGTCAACATTCGACATGTCGTCTGGTAAGATTATTTTTTGTTAATTTATCGGAATTTCAGGATATATAATATGTGAACTCATATTTGATGTATTTTAATCACCATTTTTTGAATGTGTGTATCAATGTTATGCTACGTATAAATGTTGTATGAGCATGCATGCATGGAGGTTTCCAAGTGTGATTCTATGCATGCCGTTTATGGAATGTGGTCAGTGAGTGACACAGCAGTGTTGATCGAGTGTGTGGGTAGTCTAGCTAGGCATACTTGCCAACTTGGGCCTTAATCTTTATTGCAATATTGGGTGCAGTGCAGTGCTTATGTGACCCTGAGGAGTAGGAGCACTGGTACGAGAATAAGGATTGTCTACCTAAATGCAGACCGATGCGTCCTCAAAAATAAAGATCGTCTTCATTTTGAACGGCGATGCGAAAAAACAGAATCTCTGATCTGCTATGATTTTTTTGATGTAGAGGGGTCTATTTCACATTGACTTTGCACAGAGACTTTCACGTTTTAAACGATGAATCCTCGGGAAGGCGGACAACCCATAAAAATAAATGGTGAATTGGGGGGATTTTTTTACACGGAATCTGTTTTTCGCATTGCCAGCGCGCGGATCGGGGAGCCTAGATCTACACCTGTAAATCCCAGGCCAGAAGAAGAAAAAAAAACGTCTGCAAATGCGAAAGATCATTATTTTTTAGGACGCGATTTGTCCACGTTTACAAGGATATCCTTGTTTATGCAGACAAACCTCATTCTCGGACCAGCACCCCTACTGTACTTAAAGCTTGGCAGAGAAGTACAGGTGATGGCGGCCTGCGGTAGTGAGTTCCAGAGCCTGGTGGTTTCTGAAAAGAAACTCCTTTGCAGTATGAAGGGGTGACCAAAGTTCGCGGACATTTTAGAACATAATTTTTTTTAATACAAAATGTGATATTCAAACTACAATTTCTCATGTTCTACACAAATTTATTGATTTCAATTATAACCAAATGGACGGCGAAGTTTTTAACTACAGATTAGTTCAACTAGAAAATTTTATCGTCAAAGGATTTCGGAGATATCGCGATCTAAAAATTTGATGTCCGATCGTTCGTGCGCGCTGCATCTAAAAAAGTCATAAATTCAATTCAATTCAATTTTATTTCGCAATATAAAAATCAAAATATACAAAGTAACAGTAAATTTTAACTATGTTTACAAAGGTTATATGCGGGGCTTTCCATGAAGGTTGCAAAAACCTGTGAAGTTGGATCGCCCATTAAAGAATGAAAAACAATACAAAAAGAAATATAACATATTATAAGCACACAACAATAAATTAAGTAAAATAAGCAAAGTACAAACACTTCAACTACCTATAAGGCAAGAGAAAGTAAAATAGAGAGAAGAAAAACAATATATAAAGGGGGAAAAGAAAGAAAAGGAAAACAAGATAACAATGAAAGAGGGTTCAGATATAAGATTAGAAAAAAATAAAATAAAAAAAAAAATAAATAAAAGCAACGAGACCTAACTTCACGCACGGGGGTTTACAGTTGATTTATCAAAAAGTGTGATACATCAAAAATAAGGCAATATCATAATTTGCAAGGCAAGATATCATACAATCAGTTAGTACCACTGTTTACTTACAATTTTGAGGAAATCTGCTCTCAAATTGAAGATTTTCAGACCCTTATCGGTAAGTTGATCATTTTTCAGAACGGACGCAAAATATTGCAAAATTTGCCGATCTTTTGTCAATATTTTCACAATTTCGTACCAAATTCCAAAGAAAATTTTACTTCTGGATAATTTTGTGTTCCTCTTTCCATTGGTGATATCAGATTTTCGTAATCTTACTGACTTTTTGAGATAGCGAACGGTCATGGCCTCTTTGCGGAACAGGTAGTGATGGAGTCTGGGGGATGAATCTCAGCGGGCTCTCCTTTCTTGCAGAGATGGCCATTGTATTTGGTGGATGTTGTGACACTGCTTGTTCTACCATGGTCATTGCCTTTGTACTGTAGCTTATCTTCATACTGCAGACTGGGGCTGGCCTGGGACCAAGCTCAGCGGAGTGCACTTGGTGGTAGACCGAAAATTCTGTCTCTTTTGTTCGTTAGCCTCAAGTCTTATTTGGGTAGGGTCCGCTCCTCATTTAAGACTCTTTAGAGACAGAAACCGACCATAGGGTCTTTTGTGCAAACATTGATTTTTAGCGGATGCATGTATCTGATGCATGATTTCGAAAGATGAAGTAATTCGTGAGCAATGACAGTTAGAATACGGTTGCAAGATTTGCAACAGGGACTTGTAATTTGACTCATAATTTCCTGAAAAAGGACCATTAAACGCATTATACATGTACAGGGGTGATAGCAGGACGTCCCCGCGAGCCTATAAAAACAAATATGCTTCCAATACTAAAGCAGTCTCTATTTATATCTTTTATATACCAAATTCACAAAAAAAATCTACAAAGAATTCTTATCTTATCCTTTTCTTGAGTATAATTTCAAATCTCTTCAATATATTTTCCCCCTTATTTAAAGCTGATTTGAAGACATCGATTTACTGTGATGTTTTAACCAGTTTTCAAAATATATTGAAGAGATTTGAAATTATTTACACTATTTATTATATTCTATTGCTTTCGTCCTTTGAGTCTTAAGGGTCTTTGTATAGTTTATCACTTTAATCTGTCTGTAATCTGCTCATCACATCCTTCGCATTTTTCCTTTATCACCTCTTCTATCATCTTTTATGTATGGATATCTTTGATTGGAGTCGGGCTAACTCGGACCAGGGGACAACTCCGCCCAGCTGTAAAAACGGTCATTTTTTGCATGTTTAGGTTTAGGGTTAGGTTTAGGGTTAGGGTTAGGGTCAGGGTTAGAGTTAGGGTTAGAGTTGGGGTAAAATGACAAAAAAATGACCGTTTTTGCAGCTGGGCCGAGTTGTCCCCTGGTCCGAGTTAGCCCGGATCCCTTTGATTCTTCTACCATCCATTTCTTGAATTCCTTCTGCTATAACTTCTTAATTGTATTTCTGCCCTCTGTCGTAGTTTCTCTGTTTTTTTATAGTTTTTGTCTTTTAATTCCCTCTTAATTTTTCCCCATCTTTATGTTAATTGTTAATTCTTCTGGTGCATTCTACCACAATTTTCCATTAGGCATATAATATGCTCCCTTTTCTTCTATAATTTGTTTTATATTGTTTACCACAATTATTCATCTTCTCTTTCTATATTTCCGTCATTCCTTGTAATTTCCATCCTCTTAAGGTTTATTCCCCACTTAATTTTTATATGTCAGTCTTTTTAAATTTTGCTTTCTACATTTTATTCTATCCCTTTATTTCCCTTCTCTTTTTTCTCTCATGTAAATCTTGATTTTCTCCAATCATTTACTTTATCACTTTTAAATCAAAACGATAATAAATGAATTCTTTTAATTCCTTTTGTAAAACATTTTTTCCTTTGTATTCCATTCCCTGGGTAGTTCTATATTTTCCACATCTTCTCACTCATTCCATTCCTCCCTTTTTCATCCTATTAACAGGCCTATCATATTCCCTTATAGTATTACACTTTCTCTGAAATCCACTTTGTCTTTCCTAATATGTCAGCCTTACATGTACATGTAATTCTTGTCTTCCTATTTTTCTATCATTAAAAAAAAACAATTGCAAGTTCCAACTTTTTTTTAGAGTAAATTTCCCCACGCACCCCATTGAAAAATGGTTAAAAACAGTCATTAATTTAAGTTAGATTTTCCCGGCGTGCAGGGCCGATTTGAAGACACCATTAAACAAAAACAGTTGCCTGAATGTTACAATCATTCGGGAATCGCATACACACTGCACCGTATTTTGTATCCGCCCTCGTACAAAGAAACTTTTAACACGTACCGGTAAACCAATGAGAATTTCACCAAAATTTATTAAAATGCAGCCCGTTAAAGGTAAAGACCAGTTTTGGAAACGCCCCCCCCCCCCCCCCTCCCCCCTCTCAAAAAATGACATGGAAGCTCTTATTACCAATCATGTGAAAGAATATGTTTTGACTAATATATGTACATGATGATAACAATTTTACCGGGAAACTGCCTACTAATTGATATATTTGGTAAATTATTTTAGCTATTTAGACATGATAGATATAACGCACGTGTCGCGCACGTGTGCGTAGTCCCATATGCATCTTTCCGTGTACAGTGCTTAACTTTTCAAAGACTGGGCCAAATTTCTTATCATTTTGATGATTCCAGAACCTTGCAGTACACAAATACTTATATGCTAGATGATCAACCTTTTCTGATCGATTCCACAACGTTTTTTTGCAATGCAATCGCATGACCATAACTGGTCTTTATCTTTAACCGGGGCATGCAGTCATCTTTTAAAAGACTATTGACCGTTAGGCGGGCTTACTGGCATCTTTTAAAAGACTATTGACCGGTAGGCAGGCTTGCAGGCATCTTTTAAAAGACTATTGACCAATAGGCGGGCATGGCTAAAATCACGACACCAATTTCAACCAATCAGATGGCTAGATTTTATAAAGAGAGGTAGTGAAATGAAGCCTTCTCAAGGGAAATAAGAACACTGGCCTTATTTTAAAAGGGGATGACCCACTCTGGTAACATTCTTAATGGCTGCATGCACGCTACCTACATGTATAGAGTGGTGAAGTGTGACGTCATTAAAAATCTATGTTTAGAATTTCTCAATTTTTTCTTCATTTTCGGAAAGACCATTAAAAATAATGTCCAATTGTCGAAGACCAATCGAATATGTTAAGTATTGGCTGAGATATGACCATCTGAATAAATATACTTCCTATAGGAACTCAGTGTTATGTGCTCTGGCTCTTAACCATTAGGAGCGAGAGCATATAACACTGAGTTCCTATAGGAAATCTTTTCATTCAGGTGGTCATATCTCAGCCAATACTTAACACATTCAATTAGTTTTCGACATTTGGGCATTATTTTGATGGTCTTTCGGAAAATGAAGACAAAAATAGATTTTTATGACGTCACAGCTTCTGTACTCTATACAGTTCAATTTATTGACTATGAAATGAATATCAGTAATCTCTAACATTTTAGTAATCACAATTGTGCCTGCCCGGACTACGACGACAAACAAACGAAAGCTCGCACGTGTTCTCATACTGGGTAAACAATAGTCAAAACAGCTTTATTGAATCTAGTCTCTTCATCATAGTCAAAGCTGACTCTTTGGCTTGCTGATTCACTTTGTTCCTTGGATTCCCGTAAAAACTATAAACAAACAAACAAATGAACAAAATCCAACATAAGTATATCATCATATCAAAGCATGTTACAGTGCAACTGCATTATAACGAGGCACTTGGGACGAGAGAAGATACATTGTTATAGGTAAAGTCTGCCACATCAGTGCCTTTAATAATAAGGTTCCACTGTATTATGAGTCTAAACATTATACTAAGGTGAATAACAATTAACTTCAATTTAAAGTAATTGGACTTAAATTATCATAATAGCAATACTGTCCAGTATTTAATACACTAAGTGTTGTGAAAATTAGAAATAAACTCTAAACTGATATCCTACAAATAAGGAATATTTGTAAACGTATTTAACTGTATACAATGGGTGTCGAAAACAGCTTAAATAGACAATGTAATTGCAAAAATGTTATGTGAGCAATAAATGTAATGTCAACCATCTTATATCAAGTTTTGGCGTATTTGAGTGCTTATTTCCTCAGGACTGAGGTTTGAGTTTAATCTAGTTGAGTTATCATTACACAATAAATTCGATACTGATTAAGAGTTTCTGTATATTTCCATACAAACAAATATTCATAATTACTACACAAAGACCTGCACACTATGCGTACAATGCATCAATCTGATACACGAGCTATTGAAGTTCTACAGTAGGATAACACTGATTGCTGTATGCATACTGAGCGAGTTCTCTTGAAATTAAACCTAAAAGTTCTATTTATGCTTACCACTGTGCCACTTGTTACCAAAGTCTCAGGCAGGCATAAATAATATGCCGATTAACGATGCAATTCCTTTTCCATCGCCATAACGTGCCCCAGTTTTGGGCCAAAAATTACAATCTTCGCAGACGATAAAATTATGGAATGCCAAATAGACAATTACAACCGCACGGTGTATGAAGTGCCTTTACACTCCCACCAAAATTGCCTTCACTGGTAACATAATCACATGCATGAGTACACTTACATATATATGAAAATGCATTTACTAGTATTACATAAGTGGTGCATGTGAAATAATGTGACCATAATATGGAAATTTTTAAGCAAGCACTCCATACACCTCTTGCATGTAAATTGGCACACTTGCAATCTACAACACGAATAACATGGCAATTGAATAGCTTTATCAAACCAGAATGGCATAAGTGATGACGCGGAACTCAAACAATGCACGTTTATAACATGTGCTGTAAAAGATTATAACACACACTGCAAAGGTTGTAAGGCAAGCTTAAAGGTTGCGACAATATTTAAGCGCTGTGTATCTAAAATTCGCAGCAAACAAGATCAGAATTTGAGTCCTAAATTTTTAAACTGTACCAGAAAACGAAGTACATGTGCAAATGCAAGGTCAAACATTTGTACCCGCTCCAACCAATCTCAAGTGTACATACATACCTGCTCTATGGAGGTACCTTTTCCAGAAGCAGTACGAGCTTCTGAACCGGCCTCCAGTATTCGGCAAGCTTCTTGTTTGGACGACCTTTGTTGTCAAGGTCTTTCGTTCCAACGCGCACCTGTACCCGTCTGACCAGACCATCTTCATCAGGAGTGGCTTCTGCGACCATCGCAATTGGCCATTTCATACGCGGAGCTTCATCGTCAGTGAGCAATACAATGTCTCCCACTTGTAAATTCCGTCTGGGCATCGTCCATTTCTGTCGTCTTTGAAGTCCCAACAAGTACTCTTTCCGCCATCTTGACCAGAACTGTTCCAGTAAGAACTGAACCCTTCTCCAGGCTTTACGCGTGTACACATCCTCCTTCACAAATTGCCCAGGAGGGGGCAACGGAACCGTCCTCTTCAGAGTAAGGAGGTGGTTTGGCGTGAGAGGTGCATCCGCACTTGGGTCATTCATATTGGTCACTGTTAACGGTCGGCTATTGACGATTGCCATGGCTTCGTAAAACAAGGTACGAAGAGCGGAGTCTGTGAGTCTTCCTGGACACAGGTCTATGGTAGCCCTTAAGACACTTCTGACGGTTCGAATCAGTCTTTCCCACACGCCACTTGCGTGACTTGAGTGAGGGGCGTTGAAGACAAATTCACATTGCTGGTCTGCAAGGTACGTATTCACTTGGTCTGAAGTCATCTCTCTCAATGCAGATTGGAGCTCGTTTCTTGCTCCTACGAAGTTACTGCCTTGGTCGCACCTAATCTGTCGGACAGCTCCCCTAATTGCTATGAAACAGCGGAGAGCATTGATGAATGCGTCGGTAGTCATGTCGTCGAGCATCTCAATGTGGATACCTCTTGAACAGAGACATGTGAATATAAGCCCATATCGCTTAATATCAGAACGACCTCTCCTTACAAAGAAAGGACCGAAACAATCCATACCCACATTCGTGAAAGGAGCCGAAGGTTCCACTCGATCTCTTGGCAAGTTTGCCATTTTCTGCTCTTCTTGAGGCCTACGAAGACGTCTGCATGACACACACTTTCGCAATACCTCTGCAACGACTTTAGATCCGTTTACAATCCAGAATCCATTGGCTCTCAGGTGATTCTGCGTCATTCCTCGACCCTGATGTTTGATGTCCTCATGGAAGTGGCGGATAATCGCCCGAGTGATAGGGCTACGCTTGGGCAGGATAACAGGGTGAGCCACTTCTGTCGATAGTTCGCCAAGTCTGCCCTTCACTCGCATGATCCCATCAAGGATTATTGGTTCAAGGTCATGGATGGTACTTGTCGTTTTAACGGTCTTGTCCGACGTCAGAGCCTTGATTTCTTCAGGGTAAGCTTCCTGTTGAACTAACCGCAGAATGAACAGCTCTGCGTCCTTTCTCTCACGAACTAAGGAACCTTGTCTTGCTCCCTTCACTACCATCCGTAGACGAGCCAATACCTTGATCATCATCTTCCAACTAGAGATCCTGGTAAGGCGCGAGAGGAGGTTCAACGGTTCCGAATGAGTAGTTGTCGATAGGTTGGTTGCTCTCACTTCCGGATCCCCAACGGCGAGTGTCGGAGAGATACTTCCTACTGCAAAGTCTTTCTCCCAGAGGAAGCTTGGTCCTTGGAACCAATTTGTGCTACCCAGCTGACTTACGCTCAATCCTCTGGAAGCATGGTCAGCAGGGTTCTGATCAGTCGAGACATAATGCCATTGGTCGGGAGAAGTCCTATCTCTGATTAGCTGGACTCGATTAGCAACAAACGTGTGGAACCTCCGCGCATCATTGTGGATGTATCCCAGGACTACTTGGGAATCTGTCCAGAAGAAATCTTCGGCATCATGATACTCTAGCTCTTCTTTCAACATAGAGTGCACCTTAGCTGACACAACTGCCGCTGTCAACTCTAACCTGGGAATTGTAACCACCTTGGTTGGCGCAACCCTTGATTTGCCGAAGATCAGACAACAGTGAACTTCTCCTTTCTGGTTAACAAGACGCAAATAAGAGCATTGGCCATAACCAGACTTGCTGGCATCCGAGAAATGGTGTAGCTGCACTGTTACAGGATCACCAAACTCAGCAGGATGATAACACCGAGGTATTCTTAGCTCCTCTAGCTGCGGGATTTCCTTACACCATTGCTCCCACCTTGATTGCAGGTTCTCGGGTACTGGATCATCCCACCCAAGCCCGCTACGACACATTTCTTGAAGGATTCTCTTGCCATCGAGAACGACCGGAGCCACAAATCCGAGAGGGTCATAAAGGGATGCGACTATGGACAGAATTCCCCGCCGTGTCATTGGTTTCTCTTTCAGGGAAATTCTGAAACAAAAGGCATCCGTGGACACATTCCAAACTATCCCCAGAGCACGCTCTACTTGATCCTCAAAATCCAAGTTTGAGTCAGTGACATCACTGGCACGCTCAGACTTTGGCAGACTCTCCAGAACTGCCTTAGAATTCGAAACAAACTTGTGGAGACGTAAGCCACCCTTGCTGCAAAGTTGTCTGGCTTCATTGGCCAACTGAATGGCTTCCTCTTCACTGGATACACTCACCAGCCCATCATCCACATAGAAGCTGCGCTCGACGAAACGAGATGCCAATGGAAATTCATTGCTGCAATGTCTAGCCAGATACTTTAAGCCATAATTGGCGCAACCTGGCGAAGAAGCGGCACCAAAAAGATGGACGTTCATGCGATAATCCACTGGCTCCTTGTTGATGTCGTTATCTTGGAACCACAGGAAGCGCAGGAGGTCTCGGTCATCCTCAGCGACCCTAAACTGAAAGAACATCTTCTCAACATCACATAACACTGCTACATTATGCTTCCTGAACCGACAAAGGACTCCCACCAATGAGTTTATCATGTCCGGTCCCTTGAGCAGATGATCGTTAAGGCAGGTGCCGCCGTACTTCGCGGAACAATCAAACACTATTCTCATCTTCTTCTTCATTGGATGATACACACCATGATGTGGTATGTAATTTGTTTCTCCAGGCGGCGCCTTGGTCTCTACTTGTTCTGCAAAGCCACCATTTATGATATCTGTCATGAAGCTTGTATAGTTGTCTCTATATGCTTCGTCCTTCTTAAGCTTTCGATGGAGGTGTTCGAATCGAACGGTTGCCAACCTTTTGTTGCTTGGAAGGTTTGGCCGGGTCTTGAAGGGCAGCGGCATCTGCAAATGACCATCCTCGCATTGTACAATGTTGGTCTCAAGGTGTTTCAAGAATTGTAGGTCATTCTGAGAGCATGCTTTGTCCGGCGATTTGTCCTCTGCGAAATCTGTCTCAAGCAACCCTATGATCTCCTTTGGCTTCGGAAATGGTATCTCGCGAGTAGAAACCCTCCCACACTGGCTACTGAAGTCCATGGCATTCTCTTCTTCGGCAAAGCCAACAATACTCCAGCCGAGGTCAGTTCGAATAGCAAATGGTTCTACATCGCTACCAGTAACTACTTGTCTTGGTGTCAGAGCTCTTGGGCAATTATAGCCTATCAGTAGGCCGATTTCGCATCTCTGAAGTGCTGGCATCTCTCTTGCAACATCTTGGAGATGAGTCCACTTCTCAGCAGTACTTCTGCTTGGGATGTGTTCTCTATCAGTCGGTATGAAGTCACGCGTATAGCACTTTCCTATCTTGAGCTGGGAGGGCGACATCATACCTCTAACTAAGATACTTGAAGTCACGCTGCAATCAATGTTCGATGACGAAGTCATAGTAGATAACTTTAAGCGTATGGGTTGCTGCTTAGCATTCAGGGCTTGCGCTACTTCATCTAGAATGAACGATGAATCACTCTGGGTATCCAGGAGGGCGTAAGTCAGGATCTCTGACGATGGTGCTTGTTCTGCCGCGACCCACACTGGTACAATCATCGAAGTGCTAGCTTGTTTTCCAGAACGGACTTGGCAAGACGTAGCCATGTCCTCAGAAGCTCCTTCACTCTTGTGCGCATTGTCCTCTCTTATCGTAGGGTTTTCCTCATGAAGAGCCGTGGGATGGCGCTTACCACATGTACTACACTTCAGCCTTTGTTTACATGCCTTAGAAAAATGCCCCTTCTGTAAGCAACCAAAGCATACATGATTTTCTTGAACAAACTTCCTGCGTTCAGAAAGTGGCTTGGCCAAAAACTTGTCACAGTCCTCGGACTTGTGTCCAGTTTCACTACACAGGCAGCAAGGTTTTGGAGCCTTCTTGACTTGGTTTGGGATGTTCTTGCCTTCGGCACTTTCCTTGGTGTTGACAGCCAAAGCAGATCCCTTATTTCTTGCTTCTCGCTCGATCTTGGAGGTCTTGGGACTTGATTCTCTTTGAGAGTCCTCAGATTTCAGGGCACCTAGAGAAGAAATGGGATTGTTGGCTATCCTTGCCTCCTTAGCAACAAATTTCACAAACTTAGAAAATGAAGGATAGCTGCCGCCTTCCAACTCATCTGATACCACCCTATTCCAGCTACTAATCAGCCAGTCTGGAAGTTTGGCTATCATCTTTTGATTCTCATAGCAGTCGTTTAGCACCTGGAGGCCAGTGACATATGGCATAGCATCATCACAAGACTTTAAGTAGTCCGCAAACTTCTGAAGACCTATGGCATCTTTGGAGGATATCTTCGGCCAAGCACTTAGCTTCTTCCGGAACGCTTGTTGGACATTAAAAGGATGACCATACCTCTGTCGAAGGCACCTCCATGCCCCATCATATGCCTCTTTGGAGTCCCCGAAAAAGAAACCTTCCACCGCCTCCCTTGCCGGACCAGTCAGGTACTGCTTCAGATAATACAGCATCTCTGTTGGTGGTATGCCACGGTTTTCGATCAAAGTCTTGAAACCTTTCTCGAACTCTATAAACTCAAGCGAATCCCCACTAAAGGTGCGTGGCACTGGCATCGGAAGTCTTGTGTGGTACATGTTGTCTGCTAAAGCCTTACATAAGCCCTGGACGTCAACCGACGTTGTCTGAGGCGGCTGTAGTGGTGTCTTGTCACGAGGTTCCACATGCGAATCAGGTAGACTATCATGTAGCTGGCCTACTCTAAACTCTGGGCCCATCTCATCTTGAAGGGAAGGAGATGACGTCTTGGCAGGAAGTTCTGCTGACTGCCCTTGAATACCTTCAGGTGGTTGGTTTACTCCAACTCCTGGGTACATTTTGTCTTGAAGAGGAAGTGATGGTGTGTTACGAGATTCTACAGGCTGTCCAGGATTGCTATCAATGTCAATTACTGGTGTGGCTCCACGCGGTTGGCTGGTTTCAACCCCTTGGTCCATTTCGCTTAAAATTGAGCTGAAGACCGATGAAGCATATTCTTGTTTCAAGAATTCTTTCGCTATCTGCTTCCGATCCTCGGCGTCAAAAGGACCTTCTAGGGATCCCAGAACTTCTTCCAGGGCGTTGAGGCTATCTCTGACCATTGCGTTGGCACGGTCCATCCTCGTGGTGGCCTCTCTTATGGGGACCTTGTGTCTCCTCAAAATCTCGTAGGTTTCCATCAATTCCCTCTCTCCTGCTTCCAGTATGGATATCTGTTGTTTGATGGGACCTTCTTCTGTCTCTGTCTTAATGATTGTTCTAGCTGCCTTTACTGTGGCCTTAAGGGAGCCGTACATCTTGAAAAACTTCCGCTCTGTCTTTGATTCTTCAGAGGCCTGAAGAGCGGCCATTTTTTCCGTGGGCTGCCTCTCCCTTGATGACTTTCTTGAATCTGCCATGTTTAATTGGCTTTGACACAACAGAAATGTAATAAGGAGCTGGCCTCTTATGCTAAACCATGCACTTGCACCTTGTACAGCAAATTGACCAAATTAAATTGTCATGCAACTAGAGTGAAATCAAACATCAATTTAAGCAAAGCTACAGCGCTAAGCCTACCAACCTCATCAATGTAAAACCGCTTAAAATGCTTCTTGCTAATGCAATTACAAATACTCCATAGTAATTTGATTTTACATCTCCCAATAAAGCCTTTACGCACGCCTCAAAATTCGCTTATCAAAAGGGCTTGAATGCAGACCACGCGATCATGCGATAAAGTTCAACATCGCCACATATTCCTTCCTTGCTTGACTCTGAACTGCGATGTCAATATCACTTTGTAATGAAATTACACCTTTAACTTTCTTGTCACTTGAGCACAAAACTAATGCTGGCTACCTGCAAACAAAACATGCAGTATTTGCAGAATCATATTGGAAACACTTTTCAATAGACTACTATACATGAAATAGTTATTAAAATTCAACTTTTACTTGACCTCTGTTAATTTGTTATCAAGAGTCTTGAAGTTTCACAGAGCCTATTATAGCTCTGGTTCTAACTACTTTTATTTCATCAAGTTCAGATCCAATGTTTCATTTATAAATTCAATGTTGTTGGCTTGATTTATGCTTCAAGTTCAAACCTGGCTGGACCTGGACTGTACAAGACTAAACCACGCTGGCTCCCGGGCTGTATGGCTTGACCGGGCCGATTCCCGGGCTGTTGTTCAAGCTGGACTTCAGCTGGATTAGGCTAGTTCATAAATTATGCTAGGGCTGCTACGAGAGGCTGACACAGAATAGTCTTGAACTTGGGCTTGGCTGATCCGCTAACATCTACACTGGGCTTTAGTCCTTAGACTCTTAACTAGACGTGACTGTGGGCTGGATCTATCAAGGCCGTCGCTGGTCCTGTTACATTATGGCTGCATGCCAACTGCTGGTGCAAATTATGGTAAAGCCACGTATTTTATAACAGTGAATAATAACGATTGTGGCCGATTCCAGCTTAGCGTCCATAATACACCTCAATAATAAATCGATGACACTGCTGCATTGCAACCATAATTCATTGTAACTGTAACATTAGTGTAGATCAAACTGCATAGCGTCCATACACAGCTTTACATACCTCGAACTATTGAGACATATGAGAAATGACTGGATCACAACATCATTTCACAATCCAAATCAAAATCCATCAACATCCACTCAGATTCTGAGATTCATGCGTTATGGTGCAATTCTAGCTGATCTCTAGCATATATCCTGTGCTCGTCGCCAAACGTAGTTATGTTCGTAGGTTCATCCAGCTGAAATGTCATGTTGAACTCAACTCAAATGTCTAGCGTCTATTTATTGGCTCCATCTTGATAATCAGGCTTGTTGATGATGATGAGGCCATTTTGACGCTACGTTGGAAGTGTTTTTACTGTGCCTGCCCGGACTACGACGACAAACAAACGAAAGCTCGCACGTGTTCTCATACTGGGTAAACAATAGTCAAAACAGCTTTATTGAATCTAGTCTCTTCATCATAGTCAAAGCTGACTCTTTGGCTTGCTGATTCACTTTGTTCCTTGGATTCCCGTAAAAACTATAAACAAACAAACAAATGAACAAAATCCAACATAAGTATATCATCATATCAAAGCATGTTACAGTGCAACTGCATTATAACGAGGCACTTGGGACGAGAGAAGATACATTGTTATAGGTAAAGTCTGCCACATCAGTGCCTTTAATAATAAGGTTCCACTGTATTATGAGTCTAAACATTATACTAAGGTGAATAACAATTAACTTCAATTTAAAGTAATTGGACTTAAATTATCATAATAGCAATACTGTCCAGTATTTAATACACTAAGTGTTGTGAAAATTAGAAATAAACTCTAAACTGATATCCTACAAATAAGGAATATTTGTAAACGTATTTAACTGTATACAATGGGTGTCGAAAACAGCTTAAATAGACAATGTAATTGCAAAAATGTTATGTGAGCAATAAATGTAATGTCAACCATCTTATATCAAGTTTTGGCGTATTTGAGTGCTTATTTCCTCAGGACTGAGGTTTGAGTTTAATCTAGTTGAGTTATCATTACACAATAAATTCGATACTGATTAAGAGTTTCTGTATATTTCCATACAAACAAATATTCATAATTACTACACAAAGACCTGCACACTATGCGTACAATGCATCAATCTGATACACGAGCTATTGAAGTTCTACAGTAGGATAACACTGATTGCTGTATGCATACTGAGCGAGTTCTCTTGAAATTAAACCTAAAAGTTCTATTTATGCTTACCACTGTGCCACTTGTTACCAAAGTCTCAGGCAGGCATAAATAATATGCCGATTAACGATGCAATTCCTTTTCCATCGCCATAACGTGCCCCAGTTTTGGGCCAAAAATTACAATCTTCGCAGACGATAAAATTATGGAATGCCAAATAGACAATTACAACCGCACGGTGTATGAAGTGCCTTTACAACAATAGTTTGAAACTTTGTTTAATTTTGCCCCTTGTCACTTCATCATACCGGTATTCAAAATATTTTGTGTATGCACATTTCCTTCAAAATTTGTGCAGAAGAAAAAAATTACATGAAAATAACATTTCAATATTATTGTTAGGATATTGTTTTTTTTCAAATTTTGTATAAAAATGCATCTTGATCAAATCTACATATTTGTAGTGTTTGGTGATACTGCCACCAGTGGTCATCTATTATAGGGTCGAAGGTCATATTTTGGTGGGTGTCTAGTGTGCGCTCTGCAGGTCATATTTCAAGACAGATTTCTTTCAAATTTTGAATGGAGATGTATCTTGGTACAATTTACCCATTTACAGTTTTGGGCGATGCTGCCCTCATTGTTCCGTTTTTTACATGGTCAAAGGTTATATGTCTTTTATGTGCTCTAACTGTCACATTTCTTGACGGATTTCTTTCAAATGTTGTATGGAGGTGTGTCTTAATAGTACGATCTACACATTTTTAGTGTTTGGTGATGCTGCCACCTGTGTTCTGTCTGATATAGGATCAAAGGTCATATTGTGGTGGCTGTCAATGTTTCTTGACTACAATTGCACAATTCGCTATTCCTGTTTGGAAATGATATATCAGAACTGCATTTTCTGAGATTTTCATGGCCGCAGCTACAGTCAAACCTGTACATGTATATAGCGACCACCCAAGGGAAACACAAAAAGTGGCCTTTGTAGGCAGGTTCCTTTAGTACATGATTCAATAAGAAACCTTTTTCAAGGGAAACAACAAATGTGGCCTTTGTAGACAGGTGGTCTTTGTAGACAGGTGGTCACTAAAGCAGGTTTGACTGTACCATGAAATGGCCTCGTGCGCTATTTGAAATATTTGAAATTTACCAGGAGCACCAGTAAATTTTTAATAATACAATTCTCTAAAGCAGAAGAGTTTTAGGTGCTAACTTTTTAGTGCTTATACAAGTAATACATCCACAGGGGCATCTATCCATCCAATTTTCAAAGCTTTGCATTACATTTAAGTAATTTCTGCAATGAAGATTTGACTTTCTGTGCATGCTGTATTCGATGTATGTGCATCATGGAAGCTATCTTTATAGTTTAGTTTGGTACTTTAACTTCCATGATCTCTAAAACAGAAGATTTATTCTTATTTTGTATTTTGTTTAAAGGATATTACATGTAGCATGGAACTCCAAACATACAGAGCCAAAAAGTATGTCCGTGAGTGCTCCCCTTATGTCACTATGAATTAGCTGTAACAATGGAAACCTGTTTTGTTTCTCTCTCTCTACAGACAACAAACGTGAATCAGAGGAAACCCCAATGGAGCAGACAGCAGATGATTCAAGCTCCAAGACTTCTCAAGACACCCCTGGAGGTAACGCCGAGACACTCAAATGTCAGACTTCGTCATCAGAAAGCAAGGAATCAGGGAAGGAATCAGGGATGGAATCAGAGATGGAAGCAACCAGCATGGAGCAGGAAGCTCAATGTGAAAGTAGAACTGAGAATAACTCATCAGCAGCAGCTAGCACAGACAATAGGATGGAAGAGGAAAGTAAAGACTCATCAGCGGCGGCGAGTAGTAATGGTAGTGTTGTAGGAGCAGGAGGTGGATCAACGGTGGCCAGCGGTGCTGCAGCTAGTGCAGTAGACAAAGGTGAAATGGTAGAATTGAAGATCATGTATAACAAGAAGAAATATGATGTGAGGGTCGGTGTGGAATCGACCGTAGCAGAGCTCAAGACAGAAATTCAGACAACAACAGGTCAGTTTATTTCTTACTTTTATGTAGATCTATTATCAAGAAAGTCTTTATTCTTTCCTTTCTTAAAGGTATAGACCAGTTTTGGAAACACCCCCTGTCAAAAAATGAAATGGAAGCTCTTATTACCAATCATGTGAAAGAATATGTTTTGACTATTACGTCATGATCACAAATTTTGCCGGGAAACCGCCTACTAATTTATATTTTGGGTACATTATTATATTGATCCGGCCTGGATAGATATCGCGATTGCACTTCAACATTTGGGCATATATTTCTGCTTTTTTGCAAATTTAGGTTGAAGTATAACATTGCACCCAAAACCCTTGAACCGCAATTTTACCACTACCAGTCTTTACCTTTAACCAGCTACATGTACTTTCACTGTGATGTTTATTCAATGGATGTTGTATGCCCAATCTAACGATGAAACGAGGTTATTTCTCTTGCATCGGAAATGTTGATAAAACGTTGAAACCTCACACTACATTGATGATTCTGATTGGTTCAAAGTTTAATGTTATTCAAGATTTAAAGGGAAATCCAACCCTAATAGGTTCTAGTCTGAAAGAAAGCAAAAAAAATCACAGTAGAAGACTGAGGAAAATGTGAATGAAATCAGACAATAAAATTGAAATTTATGAATTTAAAAAAGTTGTAATCACTATACATTATGTAAAATCACTTCAAATTGGCTGAAACGGTATTGTCACTGTGCCGGACAACTTTCCAATTTGTTTTAACACCCAAAGTGACTAAAATGTATGACTCAAGATCGTCTTTTATTTTTAGAGGGCCTATAATAATATACTATCCATTTCTAGTACTACCCCAAAGGAGAAGACACTTACGAGAAAAACAGAAATTAGTGATATTTTTGTACACAACAAATGGGAGAGTTGTCTGTGACTACCGGTATGTCACAATCCACTTACCGAATTCCCAATCTGAACTTAGCATAGTGATCAATCTCAATTTAAAAAAATACATAAATAGTTATTATTGGTCTGATATATTTAAAACTATTCTGTTTCTATTACTTGTTCTCCTCTCATGCAAATGAACTTATTAAAAAGGTTGGATTGTATTTTAAAGTGGCATTATGCTACACTGTAGAAGTGACAGAATGGTTTGTGTATACAATGTGGATTGGTCTGACCATCATCCCCTCCCATCCCAAGCTTTTGTGCAAAAGATCTGATCTGATCACAATTTGGTTTGGAGTAGTCCATAATGGTACCTGTATCTCATAACTCATATCACAACCAGAATTTCATTGTAAAAAAAAAGTTAATGTACCACTAATATCGTTTTTGCCAGACTGTAGTGCTTTCTTTTAATACAAACTCCTATTTGATTTACAGTAGAGTTTCATGAATATTTTTTTGAAAGCAAAGTTCATGTCCTTGTAATATACTGAGCTTAAATTTCATGAATTAATCCAAGGTGAATTGGATGTATTTGGTTGTCTGATATATCACAATACTATAATTTGTTTTGTCTTGATTGATTTCCAAGGTTATGCAGAGTGCATGGGAAACAAGAACTGGCATTGTTTTAGGCCAAATTTGAAAAGGAAATGAAAAACAGTCTCAGGTTATTTGACACAATGAGTGTGGAAAATGATGATTCAATGCCATTGTTTTTGTCTCGCCTGCATAGCAAAAATGCGAGACATAGGCGCCGCTTTTCCGGCGATGGCTACGGCGACGGCGTCAACATCAAAAACTTAACCTTAGGTTAAGTTTTTGAATTTTTTATATAATTTTGAAAGTGTAAGTTCTTAGTCAATGAAACTTGGACTTTAGGGTTATCAAGTATCCCCAATCATGTGAGTAGTATTTCAGGTCACTAAGTTAAGGTCAAAGGTCATTTTAGGTCAACAAACTTAGACTTTGTTGTGGCATCAACATCAAGATTTTGAATTTGTTAGCATATTTTCAAAATTGATTGTTCAAATTCCATGAAACTTGTACCCAAGGGTTATCAAGTATCACAAATCATATGACACAAATTCCAGGTCACAAGGTCAAAGGTTAGCAGACTTGGATTATGTTTTCACAACTTAATATGAGAATTAATAATTTTTTCTATTAATTTGTTCATATTTCATTCAAGTTATCGATCGTGGTACATTTAATAGTAAATAATTCTTAATGATTCTTAGTCAATAGTCACTTCAAAATGTGATTATATTTAAAGGATTTCATTTTTGGGGGCCTGCTAATGGGATACACTGCCTATGAATAATGTTCTAACCTCAATTTTTCATCATATCGAATTGCGTAATGCAGGCGAGACCGCCGAGAGCGTTTCCCTTGTTTATTAGACATGGGACTATTGAATGTCACATGATCTAACTACAAATGATCTGACTATGCCAGACATGGTATGAGATTCCCCTGAAGACTTGACAGGAAAAGCTCACGTACAGTGTATGTGTGTCATTGTCTACTTCTGTTTGTTTTATAAGCAACTCATCCATGCCATCCATGACTGTTGCTGCTTTCCCCTCAAACTTAGTCTTATTTCCAATATGGCCCATGTTACACCTGCTTCACAAGAACCAATATTATTCTGTAAAATTGAATATTTTTCTACCTGTGTTTATGATCAGGCGTTCCACCTGCTATGCAGAAATTAATGTTCAAAGGTCTGATGAAAGATGAGAAGACACTGAAGGAATTGAAGGTTACCAGTGGATCTAAACTCATGCTGATTGGATCTACAGCTAAAGCTGTGATGGAGGTCACAAAGCCTGTACCTGCTGGTGGAATAGTCGAGAAAGATGAGAAAGGTAGGATCAAATCATGCTTTTAATCCATTGAATACCAAATGTATTCACTCCCATAGGCTTAATACAGTGACCACCTGCTTCCCGTTGACAAAGCGTTTAGCGTTATATGAATGAAGAATTGACAGAGCTCTACATTTTAAATGTGTTTATTTCCATTTTAGAGGATGTTAAAAGCACCAACAAAGTACTTCAATAACCCTGGCTTTTATAAAGGTGCTCTAAGGTTTTGAAAGCATTCAGGGAATTTCTTTATATCAGGTACACAATACTTCACCTGGGTTGAGAGTGGCAAATATAGATTGATGTCTTGCCGGGGTACGTTGGTGCTGAGGGAGGGACTTACATTGTGGTGTTGACCATTAGAATCCAGATGGTTACCACATTTCTACAGACAAGACAGATCAAAGAGTTTACTGTAATTATGTGGATCTTCAAGGGTTTTGGCTGCACTGCTGCCTAGTGACTGACCATTACTTTGTACAAGCTTTACAACATGGGTTATTAGTTATTTCAATACTTGGAGGCATAGAATCACAGGTCTCTTTAACCCTTACTGTATTGGGGGGGGGGGGCCTGGGAGGCCCCCCCCCCTCGACATTTTCGGAGATTGCGCCCCAACCCACTGGAATTTTGAATTGTCGTTTCATGACTTTTTTTCCTCAAGTCTTACGCACATTTTGATACCATTTTCGTCAAAATCAGATATACCTGTAAGGTGTTACATAACAATTAGTATGCGCATGTCATCAAAAAAGTGCTATAATTGCATATATTCATGTACAAGCAGTAATGTGAAGCTATGAATTGATATCAAATTGCTTTTATATGTTTCTCAAAGTAACTTGATGTATTTCAGAACAAAAGAATACATTAGAAATAAAACAATAGATATAATAAGAAATAAAAAACAATAAAATACATAAGAAAATAAGTAGTTGAAAATCGCATCAAATTTGCATAAATTATCATTATTAATTACTTCAAATAACTTTCTTGTGATAGAAAAGAAGTTTCATTTGAATAATGAGTAACAACATTCAAAAAGTGGAGTCTGACAATTTTTGTAAGGATTCTAGTTCCCGATATACATATTTCCGGATTTGAAATTGATGAATGCATATTCATAATTTATGCAAATTAACCTATTGATTTTCAAATATCATAAAAATAATGAAACCTCATGAATTTGAGATGAAGGAAACATTTATTCAATACATTTTCAAGATTCTTCACAATTCTACGGACAAATATGTAGAGTTTTCTGTAAAATGCATAAAATTAGCATTTTGCATAATTAATTAGGCTATAACGACAAAAATTTGCATATTAGCGAAAAACTAATTATACCATCTTGTTCCTTACGTAAATATCTACAAACATGCAAATTTTCGCGTTCATCGGACATTCGACGGCCAAGATCATAGGGGGGGGGGGCCTCCCAGGCCCCCCCCCCCCCCCCAGTCAGAGAGTGCTCGAAATAGCCCAGTACAGTAAGGGTTATTGTTTTGAATCTAAACCTTGATTTGCATCACCTATTTACTATGGACACCCAAACAGGAAAAATTATTTAAAAAAATAAATAATTGAAATGCACGTAAAAATGTGAAACCTACCGGTAACCCTTTTGTTCATCTTTATTTTTCAAAAACAAAGAACAAAATCTGTGTCAGCCTGAACTTTTTAGTTAATTTGGCTTCCCAAAGCATCTCCTCCTCTTTTTTTTAGGCCTTGGTTTGAATTTTCGGTTTAGACAACTTTCATTAAATTGGGTGAAAGAATTACAGACTGACTACAGAGCAAATACATAGGAAATGTTTTTATAGCATACTGCCTGCATTAATATATCATCCCTTTTCTTTTACTCTGCAGCAAGTGCCGCCAAGGAGCCCCTAAGTAAACTGAAGATGCATAAAAAGATCATTGATAAAGGCAAACCAGATGATGCTATGATTGGCATCAAGAACCAACATGTAAGTATTGACTAGAGGAATGGTAACCTTGGTGCATACAAATGTCAAGCAATTCTTATTTTAATAACTTTTTCTTGTTTAAGAGATCTCCTTTTTCTTTGCTTAGGTAAAATGAGATTTTTCTTGGAACAATGTTCATATTTCTTTGCTATTTTAATTTCATCTCTGTTTCATCAGAGCTCTTTGGTACCATGTATCTATCTAGGGCTCTTTTGACATTTTCCACACTTAAATGGATCAATGATCAGTCACATAAACTTTTCAAGCCAGTTTGCATTTGTTTAAAGCCCCACTGCACTACTTATAGCTACATGTACCTGCGCCCTCTATATAGCAAACAATGCCTAATCGGTGCCTGTTGGTCCCCCATGATCACATTTTTCTTATGTTAATTGAGAGCTGATTTGATGAGATAACCACCTGTCAGTGACCTCACAGGGAGGTCTAATCCCCCCTGGCCAAACTAGTACAGACGGCCTTTAATATATTAAATAGACTTTGATTCTATCCCTGTCCTAAATGTATGTCTTCATCTGCTATCTCTAGTTCTGATGTAACTCAGTTTTTCAAGTGATATTGTATCTAAGTCTTGCTGAAGGATTGATCAACTGGTGAATAAAGAGCCTTAGTAAACCTGCTTCAGCAACCACCTCTAGTATATTACAACCACAGACTTTGTCAATAGTTAAATGGCAACAATCGCCTCGAGCTGTGATCAACTAGCATATTTTAGATACACATGCCATATTTCATACAACTGTTATCAGAATAATAACATAGACAAGACTGATTAAAACTTTATCCATATGAGACGAGTGAGTAGTGATGATGAATCTGAACTGTCTTGATTTTTCAGGAACCGCTTCCAAATGTTCCAATATCTGGCATGCTGAACAAAGCTGGAGGAAAGGTTCGACTCACTTTCAAATTAGAATTGGATCAAGTGTGGATCGGTACAAAAGGTAATATTATTTTCTTCTAGAAAGATGTCAGATTGTTATCACTCAAGACTCTGTTCTGTTCATTTTCAGAATAGTATTTTGCTGATTTAGTATTTACCATTGGAGGAGGTTTGGGGGAAAAGATCAAATGATCTATATTAACAACTGAATTATTCATACCCTCACCAAGTTAAGTATTTTGTTTATGTATGTGAATAAAATTAATTTGACCCAATTTATAGTAGTCATATTATACCTCATTGGCTCCGGAGTCAGGCCACGGAAAAGACACGTAGTCTTGTCAGGCTACACTCCCTTTAAGGTTTAAGTGTACACTGTTTCTCTCTTTAAGAACTGAAACTCATCTACATCTACATCAAAAAACAGAATGAAGGTGTTCATAAAACTTGTTATCAATAACAATTCATAATAACTCCTATAAGCTCCTGAATTCTATGAAGTTGATTGGCAGAGTGCAAAGTTGGCTTTTTTTATTGATGAGAATAATAGGGTCCAAGCCGATTATTAAACACTCTCCATCCTGAAATTTACCCAGTACTATACAGTATGTTATGTAGCATTGACTATTTTCTTAATGGTTTGAGTCTCAGAGAAGATATTAGAACTTTTCAGGATTCAAAATAAATATGCATTTGTAGAAGTAATGAGCTCAAATTTTATGATTTCTATTACAGAATGTAAAATATTTGCATGTTGTCATTTATAGATACTAATCCAGTTTCATTAAAGTATTCTTTATTATCATTACCCCTCTTTCATGTGGTATCAACTTTATGAAGGTTACAGTACTTGGTTTGGATTGTGTAGAACTCCTTTGTAAAATGTCATGAGATTGATAAAAAAGAGCCATGTATGTTTTATTTTTTTCAAACAGAGAGAACAGAAAAGATCAACATGAATTCCATCAAGAATGTTCTCAGTGAACCCATTGAGGGGCATGAAGACTATCACATCCTGGTAAGTACTGTTATATCCCTATGATTAGCTTGTCCTTCATTTTCTTTCCTTTTCTTTTTTACAACTAACAAGAACTTGAAAAGAAATTACCACATCTAATTCACAGTGACCAGATATGTTAACAGTGATACCATGCAGAGATCAAGCCTTGTACATCAACATTGTCTTCAGAATGAACCCTATTGTGTCAAACCCCCGTTTTGATGTTTGCTTGAGATTAAAGGGTACCTGGTGGAAAGCTTCTCAAAAATTTCAGCACCTTGGATGGCATTTTGGATAAGACTAGGGCAGGGGCAATTCAGTATTTTTATTACTTTTTTAATTTTTGTACATATCCCTGAAATGTCAATACTTAATAGATGTGCACTCTTTCACCATTCAAAACCAGAAGGGCATTATGCCCAAGTAAAATAAATATAAATTAATGCCCTTAATCAGTGGTGTAATGAGCAAAAACTTTTCGGGGGCAGAAGAAGAAGAAAAAACCCCGGAAATTCATGTGATTTCTGCAACATTTGTAGATCACTAATATCTAATTAGAAATAATCCATGCTTGATTTGGGGGCAACTACCCCCCCCCCCCCCCCCCACATCAGTACACCAGTGCCCTTCATGATCTCCGTAGATGCTACATTCATCATGCAAGTAAACAGGGCATGGTTGATAACAGTGAACATAATTGACTCTCTTTATTATCTCTGTGTTCTGTTTACAGGCCATCCAGCTTGGTCCAACGGAAGCTTCCAGGTATTGGATCTACTGGGTTCCTGCACAATATGCAAAGGGAATTAAAGACACGGTTCTAGGAAAATGGGTGTACTTTTGATCAAACCTGTAATATCATCAACTCTACATGATTATGAAAGTGAAGAGAATTCCATCCTGAACTTTTTACACCGATGGACAAAGGAAGGATTGCGATGTCTGATGATAATCTTGAATCAAACATTTGTGCAAGGCTTCCATGTTGCTCCTATTGCTGAGATGAATGAAGCTGTAGATGCCTGAATTCAGCAGCTGCCTGTTCTTCATAGACTGTACAAAAATAATCAGAAAAGCATGTAATGTAGCTAAACCAGTCATTATCTGTCACAAAAGTGTAACGGTACATACATGTTATGGGCTTGCAATAAGAAGTTTACATGCTGAGTGACTTAAGTGTATTTAGTCCATGGACTGTGTCAATGTTTGACCCATTTTGCTAAGGTCTCACAAATGATAGGTGTTGACCCAATCCCAACTATCTGATAACACTAATAGCTATTAACCTGCATAATCCTACAACCAAAGTTATGTACAGGATGCATAGGAACATAGGTATTGAATAGGACTGGTGTTGTTTTTACTTAATTCATTCTTGCATTTCTATTTTTTTAGGGGGGCAGTATTTTGTGAACACACATATTGGATTAAATTCCCAAATTACACACAAATGTCCTGTATTTAGATAGAAAGGGATGAGGGGTACTAGTGTCATTGTCAAGTATATTAAATAACCAGCTCCATTAAAGCATCCATCTCTCCTGAACTAAATCCTTGTCATTTGTCACTCTTTAAAGAAGGTACCGGTAATCTAAGAATTAAAAGGGAAATGCCTACCTTAGGTGGTCTCAAATCTCAATATTTTTTTTTTTTAATATATAAATCTAATTCAAGCACTTTGAAATAAATATTTCTTTGTGATGATAAAAACTGTCCAAAAGCTTGTGTGCATGTATGAAATGAGCAATTTGCATGTCAGTTTCAACCCTCATCTACTTAACAATATACATTGTATGGGAACCTTCTGAAAATGGAATGTTATACCAATCATTTTTTATATGCTCAAAGATGTTACAAAAGCATGCCTTATATCTCAACAACTTACAGCAGTTTGTACTTGTCATCACTTAGGTAACCAGATGTGAAGGGCTTTGAAATGGTTAACAATGGACAAAGCAATCTCATGTATTGTTCTTATCTAGGATGAAAAGTGCCCACTTGGCCATGGAGGGAGTATAACTCTATGGCAATAAGAATGTATGGATCATAGCATTGTTAAGGGCTAGTTAAGCATAGAGACTTGGAGAGAAAAGAATGCATTGAAGGATCTCTAATCCCAGTAAACAATGATTGAAAGGAAGATGAAATCTATTAATCCCAGGAGGTAAAAGAGTGGTTATTCTGGAGAGAAAACAATGCTGTGAATAGAGGGATCTATAATCTGATGATATAAAGTGACTAGTTTAATGATCAAGAAGTATCCTAAGAGAAAACATTGTATTGATGAGAAGAATCTCTAATCTGGGTGTGTAAAATGGTTAAGATTAGTTCTTTAAGATGTATCTGGAGTAAAGATTGCTTTAAAAAGGAGAATCTGTAATCCCAGGATGTTGAAGGACTGATTTATCATATTTTAAATCCTGGAGAGAAAAACTACAATGAAAAAGATCTCAGAGGGTGTAAAAGGGGTGATTATCCAAGAAATCTCTAGAGAGAAAAATGCCTTGATAACAACAATAGTGGCCAATCTCTCTTTTGTTTAGTACAAATGTATAGGCGTGTCCATTACATTATTGTAAGAAGGTAAATATGGTCATGGAACAAGAACAGGGTGATTGAAATATTTAATCTTATATGTCTGAAATATGGTAAACAATTAAAAGTGCATTTATTCCTACGGTTTTTCATGTAAAAATGATACAGAAGTGAAAATACGAAGCTTGACCAGTACATGCACTACTGGATTTCTTTCATGTTTCATTTTACCGTCCCAGGAAAATAATCACAGTTCAGAGGAAAGCTCAGCATGCCTCATTAGTAGCTTGAACAGAAACAATTATATGTATCTATAGAGATATATTATGGAATGGAAGCTGTTCTCTTTTACATTTATTCTCAAAAAACAATCAAGTTTAGCAGATACAGTTTCCATGTACTCTAAAGTATGTCTGTTTTCTAAACTAACTTTTCACCCTTGAAAATCCAATTCATCAGTGAGGCTGGCATCTCCCTAAAATTGCAAATTTGCTTACGTTAAATTCTGAATTTAAAAACAAAATCATGCTGTCTGAAAGAACTGTAACCATGGAATAAATGTTAATTTACTCCAGTTAATAGTCCTTTGGAAATGTCAAATACAAAACGCATCTAATCAGACTATGAATATGTATGATCAAGTGATCTTGAATAGAATGGAAAATCTGAAACTGAATACAGATCGAGGCATGACATAGAACCATTCCTTCATCCATCCAACTATTATCTGCTTATATAGTGGTCTAGTGGATAATATTCTCTTAGATAAGTCAATGGACTGTAGATTCGGTTCATATCCCAGCCTGGCACTAACATCCTTTGTCAAGATGTTATTCCACAATTGCCACTCTCCACACAGTTGTCTATGAGTACCTGATACTTGAACGCTATAGTTACCAGTACTTTGGTTTTCCAGCTATAGCCAGGGTAATAATGTCTAAGTGCCATGGTTTTTACTTCGTTAGGGATATGAGGGATATATAAGTTAATAATTATATTGTTAGTACCTGCTAAAATACCCTCAGAAATTTACATTAAATATACCAGTATTGAGAAATGAAATAAAATGTGTATTGGATTTTTAATGCACCATGATTATGCTATCATTGAAATTTATTTGAATTTTCATTTATGAAGTAGATGATGGTAAAAGATGAAGAGTTAGATTGTCTCCTTTAATTTGGCAAACATAATTTTTTTTGTGGAATACATTAAATGGTCATTCCTTTCTTCTTCAAGTTTAAAATTCATTTAAATTAATGTTTAACTTCAAACAATGAACTTTGTTATTCGTTTAGAGGATGTAGTCTTCACTAAGTATTACAAAAAATCAAATACTTGACATTATTTGTTCCTTTTTTTAAAAGTGAAAATGTATGAAATGTTTTCTTAGATCATACCTTTTCAGAATGAGAATGAGATTACATGTCGATCACTTCTCCATTATCCTTATTGGAACCGATTCATTATGGAACTATGTCAAGGATTAATAGAGCGAAAGCTCAATAACCTTTCAAGAAACAGTATTGAAGGATCATTTTTAAAACAGAGTCGTTTGTGAATTGTGATGTATGAAATGCCTGATGTAGATTGGGTGACCCTGCATTTGCTCCTGCAACAATTGCTTCTGGCTTTATTTTGTCAAAGGTATAGGCTTAGGATTGCACTTGGGTATTAGGCTGGTTTTAGGGTTAGGGTTAATCTTGGGTATAGTGAATGGGTCAAGGGGTAATAGTTAAAGGGTGTGGTACTTAAAATTCATGTTCTACATAATGTAATCTCTAATTGTCACAACATGTCAAACATGCTTTTCATAAACCAAAAATAATATGCTTTATTTTGGGTTAAGATAGAAAACATTAGGTAATGAATGTAAAGTAGGTTTTGCTCAAAAGTATAGTCAGGCATGGATTTAGTCTCAGTTTTCAAGATTATCTTTGAATGCTATTTTTGTTCTCATATTGTGTTTTTTATATTTTCTTTCTTTGTTTTTGTTTTATTGGGCCATATTCCATGTGTGTCACAAATTACAACTTTAACAAATTAAATATAATATTCATGTTCATCGTCAGTTTAAATATTTCTGTTTATAACCTTTATGATTTTCTCTGTCAACCTTACATTGACCCATCTCCCTGCATTGACGCACTCTAAACAGTTTTATCGTGAAGCGTTGTATGCAATATTACAATTTTGAGAAATTGGAAGGAACCATATATACATAGTTGGAAGAAATTGTTGATTGATTCATACAATGTGTTGTGGCTTACTGTATTTCCTTGAAATGTTGCTTAATATAATTATATTCATGTTATCAGAACTCATGAGGTTTATCTATTACTTTGAATGATCTCTGAGTCTGAAGATTTTTTTATTACATTATTAAAGGGCATGTCATTTGATTTCTTTGAAGTGTGGCACTTATATAGAGAGATTGGAGGAGACATTTTAAGGAGAGAGAGAACTGAAGGATATTACAGATGCAAAGAAGGAACTGTGATAATTAGGGGGGAAATAGTGATTGTGATTGCGTGTATGTGGTGATCAGAGAGAGAGAGAGAGAGGGGGGGGGGGGTGTATGTGTGTGTGTTTTTTTTTGGGCGGGGGGGGGGGGGGCGGTGGAATGGTGTGATATATAAGGTGCAGAGCACAGGTTTATGGAGCGAGATTATGTGAATATTAAAGATGGAAGCCAAGGAACGAGAGCGTGATAAAGAGAGAGGTAGAGCAAGAGAAAACTGAGGATAAAAGAGAAGAGGCATGAATTTATTAAAAAAAAAAAATGAAATGTAGAAATTAGGGGGCGATGTGAGGCCGGTGATATGGCCAGGTAACATTCTTTAATTTTCTCCTAATTATAATTACATATTATTTATCGATAATAATTAATGGAAATGCACTTCAGTTCAGTGAAAACAAAAGAAACATTATGAGGCCATAGAAAGGAAGAATCAGGGGCGGCCGAGCGACTTCCAAAGTGGGGGGGCACCAACAAAAAAGGGCACTTTCTGGAAAAAAAAGGGCACCTACAGTGGGAAATCTCAATGCGAAAATATACAATTTTTTAGACATTGGTATATACCCCTACATTGTGATTACATTATCAGGGATGTTTTCAATATTTGTTTCTCTTCATACATCATACAAGATATCGCTTAAGCATCATACTTTACAGTTGGGTGTGATGTCTGAATATTCATTTACGAGCGAGCGAAGCGAGCGAGAACAATTTTAAAGATCTGTAAGGTCGCAGTGCGAAAAATTACATCTTATAAAGAGGAAAAAGCCAATCATGATGGGGTTATAAGCACATTCTCATAACGGAAGACTGAAAAGACCTTTGATCAAACATAATTATATCATCTTTAAATGCGAGCGAGCGCAGCGAGCGAACTTTTGGGGAAATTGCTCTTAGTCGCTTTAAATAAGGGGCACGTTTAATGATTACATGAAAAGGGGACAATTATCGAAAGGGATAAGACACTTATTAGAAAAGAAAAGGAGCACGTGTCAAAGTACAAAGGATAATTATAAGAGGTGAAAATGAGGAATTTTTTCACCTGAAAAGAGGCGTTTACGAAAATGGGAAATAGGCATTTGTTGATGGAAAAGGGGCACCCATCAGATTTTGATAGGGGCATTTATAAGAGGTGAAAAGGGGATAGGTCCCTTATTAGAAAGGAAAAGGGGCACGTATCATTATTAAAAGGGGAATTATCAGAGTTGAAAAGGGGCACTGACCAGATATGAAAAGGGGCACTTATGAAAATGTAAAAGGGGCACTTATAATAAAGGAAAATGTGCATTTGTTGAATAAAAAGGGGGCACCGTTCAGATTTTTAAAAGGGGCAGTTATGAGAAGGGGAAGGAGCTCTTTCTTTTCAATGGGGGCACTTATCAAAAGGAAAAGGGGCACATGTTAAAATGAAAGGTGTGCTCATCCGAGTTTAAAAAAGGGGTAGTTATTAAAAGGAGAAGGGGCACTTCTTACAAAGGAAAAAAGGGGAAGTTGTCAAAGTAAAAGGAGCACCTCTCAGTTTTGAATAGGGCAATTATCAGAGGTGAAGGGGGCACTTATTAAAAGTGAAAAGGGGCACTTCTCGTACCTGAAAAGAGGCACTTACTAAAGATTAAAAAGGGCACTTATTCAAGATAATTTCAAGATTTATGAGAATGGATCATAGACACTTATTGCAAAGGAAAATGGGAACATGTCGAAGGAAAAGGGGCACGTGTCAAAAATAAAAAGGGCACTCATCAGAGGTGAAAAGGGGGAAGGGGCACTTTTACTAAGTAATAGGGGCACTTGTCAAAGTAAAAGGGGCACCTTTCCTATGTAAAAGGGGCACTTCTTACAAAATAGAAGGGGCACTTTTCCTATGTAAAAAGGGGCACTTTTGGGGTATCTGAAAAAGTGGGGGGGCACTGTGCCCCCCCTGCCCCCCCCGGGAGAACCGCCTCTGGGAAGAATAGAAAAGGAAAATTAAGAAAAGAAAACGTGAGAAGGATAGAGAAAACAAAAAGGAAATTACAGAAAAGGACAATTCAGGAAAGGAAATTAAGGAGCGGGTCGAGAGAAACGATTCTTTTCTTTTTTGGCTACCCAGGACCAAAATCCAGTTGAAACCAATTGGAGCAAAACCAATTGAAACCAGTTGCCAACTGGTTTCAATAGGGAAATTGGAACAACTGGTTCCAATTGAAACCAGCTGCCAACTGGTTCCAATTGAAACCAGTTGAAACCAATTGCCAACTGGTTCCAATTGAAACCAGTTGAAACCAATTGCCAACTGGTTCCAGTTGCCTAATTGGTTTCAACTGGAACCAGTTGTTCCAATTTCCCTATTGAAACCAGTTGGCTTCAATTGGTTTCAACTGGTTTCAATTGGTTTCAACTGGTTTCAATTGGTTTCAATTGGATCCAATTGAAACTTACAGTTGGCATAAACTTAATTAGTTATAAGTTAATAAGCTCTTGCACTAATTATCGCTCATGTCAACACAGAAGCATTGTTATATGTGTCTACATTAAGTACAATGTAAAGGGCATTATAATATGCAGACCATATAATATAATTAACAAGGAAGGCATTGCCATTATATATGTTTGTATTTGATGTATTTTGTACATGGTTAGTGTTTTAATAATCAACTTTTAATCTGTGTAATTACAAAAATATGTTACTAATGAACATGCTTATCATTGCTAATTAATCTTTATATTTATCTGAAACAAATGCATTACTTGCAAATGAAAATTAATTAATAAGTGCATTGTAAATCAAAATAAATTACATAAAACATTGATCTGCACACAAGCAGATAATATGCAAATTAACTGGTTTCAATTGGATCCAGTTGGGTAACTGGAAATATTTCCAATTGGAACCAATTGTGTAACTGGAAATGAATTCTAACTGGAACCAGTTGGGTAACTGGAAATGACTTCTAACTGGAAATGAATGCTAACTGGAACCAATTGGGTAACTGGAAATGAATTCTAACTGGAACCAGTTGGGTAATTGGAAATTACTTCTAACTGGAAATGAATGCTAACTGGAACCAGTTGGGTAACTGAAAATAAATTCTAACTGGAACCAGTTGGGTAACTGGAAATGACTTCTAACTGGAACCAGTTGGGTAACTGGAAATGACTTCTAACTGGAAATGAATGCTAACTGGAACCAGTTGGGTAACTGGAAATGATTTTAACTGGAACCAGTTGGGTTACTGGAAATGAATTTTAACTGGAACCAGTTGGGTAACTGGAAATGATTTCTAACTGGAAATGAATGCTAACTGGAACCAGTTGGGTAACTGGAAATGAATTCTAACTGGAACCAATTGGGTAATTGGAAATGAATTCTAACTGGAACCAGTTGGGTAACTGGAAATGACTTCTAACTGGAAATGAATGCTAACTGGAACCAGTTGGGTAACTGGAAATGAATTCTAACTGGAACCAATTGAGTAACAGAAAAATCATCTTACTGTTTCCAGTTGAACTTCTTATTGGTTTGAACTGGAAATGAGTACCCATAACAATATTTTCCAGTTCGGCAATTGGTTTCAACTGGAAATTTTATATTCCAATTGAAACCAATTGAAACCAATTGAAACCAATTGAAACCAGTTGAAACCAATTGAAACCAGTTGGAGATTTCAACTGGTTTCAATTGGATTTTGGTCCTGGGTATGAAAATATAATTATATTATAAAGAAAAAAAATGCGCGCAACAGTTAAAAGAAACGATTTAAAAAAGGAAATAAAATAATATATATATGGCGGTTATAGTAGCTGTTGCCTGTTTGGGTTTTTTGAGGCCGGACATACTTTTTGTGCATTGTGAGGCATGCTAGAAATCCCTGATTATACAGACCTATTTGCAAATTGCGGTTAACACGAAGGACAAGAAGATGACAAGAACACAAGAAGAAGATATGCCTCAATGGATGCGGCTATTCCCGCTATTTTGTCACATGACACTCTCCGTACGTACGTACGTACGCGCGCGTCAAAGATACTATAGTACTTGACCTCACGCACGCATTTTAAACGCGTTGTTGGAACTGTGCGCGTGCATAATCAAGAATCCTGTACGCCATTCGCTAGCGGAAAAGCGGACCAAATCCATGAAATCTACCACGATCCGGCTTTTTTGGTATTAATTAACAAACAATCTACAATCTCAAAATGTCGTATGGACGAATAGCACCAGACATTGAAGGGATGACTTCCCTGAAAGTGGACAATTTGACATATAGCACGACACCTGAAGACCTACGACGCTGCTTCGAAAAATATGGCGAAGTTGGGGACATTTACATTCCACGCGATAAATTCTCAAGAGAGAGCAGAGGGTTTGCTTTTGTCCGATATCCGGACAAGAGGGACGCTGAAGATGCAATGGATTCTATGGACGGTAACCTATATGATGGTCGGAAATTGAGGGTCCAGATGGCAAGATATGGCCGACCACAAGAATCCCGAGGAAGCCGATACGGAGGAGGAGGAAGCCGATACGGAGGTGGTGGACGACGCGACCAGTACCAGGGTGGCTACGGTGGTGGTGGTGGTGGGAGATACGGTGGTGGAGGAGGTGGCAGCAGAAGAAGGTGATGACGCGTAATATTATGACGATGGTGTTGCCTGTACTATTCTAGTGTTGTATGAATGAAGGGAAGCCCGATGGGAACAATTGCAGAATACCCTACCACGGTTTTACAGATCTAGAACTAGTCTATAACAGTCTGACAAATATTAGAAATATAGTCTAGATCTAGATCTAGTCTAGAGTAGAACTAGAGTCTAGGTCTAGAAGCCAAATTCCAACGACCATCGACCAACAGTCTGACAAATATATTAGAAATTGAAACCAACGACCATCGACCAAATAGATCTACTATTGAATGGAAGAGTCCAACGACCATCGACCAACAGTCTGACAAATATTAGAAAAAGAGACCAACGACCATCGACCAAATAGTGAGGCATATTTGTTTAAAAGAGCCAACGACCAACGACCATCGACCAAGGACTCCCAAATATTAAAAAAGAAGCCAACGACCAACGACCATCGACCAAGGACTCCCAAATATTAAAAATGAGGCCAACGACCAACGACCATCGACCACCCACCAATACTAGTCTAGTCTAAGCACAAAGCTAATTTTTTCTTTTGTATTTTTAGCACGAGACATTCCACTATTATAAGCACAAAACTATTATTTTTCTTTTGTATTTTTAGAACGAGACATCACTTGTTGATTAAAAAAGCACAACACTATTATTTTTCTTTTGTATTTTTAGAACGAGACATTACTTGTTGATTAAAATATCTAATAGGGTCTTAGAAAGCAGACTAGCAGTGTAAGAGAGGGCACAAGGTACAAACAAATACGTGTGTGGGACTATGTACGGGCTGGACATTTTGTGTTACTGAAATGTGCTTAGAATTCAAGTAATTCATCTATTAAATGACTATAACAGACAATAAACAAGACAAAGGTAAGGACAAGAATCAGTGCTTATCAATATAACAGACATTTTGCATGAAATACCATCAGGAAAGCCATCTAAATTTGTCACAAATTAGCGACAAACACACCAAATTCAGCGCTGCAATGACACACAAAACCGCGTAAAATTCAACTTTTCATCCACCAAATGAATTCAAACACTTGCATTATACAATCTTCAATACCTGTATCACCGTTATCACAAATAATAAAATCACAATCTATATCTACGGCTAATATATGAAGACTAACGATATGGTAGGGTATTCTGCAATTAAGCCGCCCGATGTATTATGCACCTACTGACCTAGATTCTAATTTAGACCTAGATCTAGGTCTAGATCTATGTAGGCTATGTTGAAATTGATGTTTTTTTATTCCGATATGGGTGATATTATCTGAATTACAGAGAGTATTTCAAGAATCAAGGCATTAAAACGATAGGTTTATTGCACGAGCTACGAGTTAGTAATCACAGTTTTTCCTTTAGACTAGTATAGAGTCTAGGGCCTACCGGTAATCATTTTGCCTTGCGTGTTGACTAGAACTTAGAAGCTACAAGTTCGTAATAAGTTTTTTCTTCATAATCATTTTGCCTTGCGCGTAGACTAGAGATGAGACGAGAGATGAGACGAGAGAGAACTAGGCGTTGTGGTGTGCGCCTGTAATCCAGCTAACAGTGGAAGTTACAAACTAATTCAGCCGAGAGCGCAGGTTCGAAACTGAGTCACGTCTTTCGGATGGTGACGTTAAAGGTCGGTCCCCAGACGTAAATAATCATATCTGATTGATACACGTCTGTAAAAACCCAATTACACACACATACACACACACACGAGATGAGAAGAGATGAGAACCGTGTCCGAGTTGGTCCTTGGGCGTCCTATATTATAGCCGATAAGCCTTTTGCTCGCCAGCCACTGAATTCTTCATCATTAAATAAAAGTTTAGCTTTTAAAAATCCAATTTATCCACATCTATAGGTCTATATCAAAAAAAGTAAATCTAATTTTAAAGGAATAAAAATCCTGAGAGAAGAGGCGTAAATATTCACTTCTGAATGAAAAACGCCTATAAATTAAAACAACAACAACAACGGCTGCAAGATTTTCTTCATGGATGTCGATCTTGACCCATAATTTCCTGAAAAGGGACCATTAAACGGATTCAAGTAGTCAAGTTGAAGTTGGTAAGTGGAGCCGAAGTAGTTGAGCATGTAGGCCTACCTAATTTAGCAGTATAAATTAAATACATCGGATATGCATCCGGTAAAATATCAAAATTAGGGATTAAGTTTGGCCAAGTTTTGTGTAACGTTTCTTTACACAAACGCGCGTCCACTACAGCGTATAGGGCTGTTCTGTCTCTAAAGAGAGAGCCGACCTTACCCAAATCAGAGGCTAACTAACGAAAGAGACAGAAAAATTCGGTCTAGACCAGGCCTAGCCCTAGACCGGATTTTCTGTCTCTTTCGTTCGTTAACCTCTTATTGGGGTAGGGTCGGCTCTCTTTTTAGAGACGGAAACCGTTTAAACGCATTCCCTTGCTAACGCCACAGCCATTTATGGCCATATTTTTATGTCCCGAAAATCCCCCAAAATGTCATTTTACCTCGTGCATATCCAATGCATTGATTATTCAAAATTAGGCCTACGCCAAAATAAATCGGTTCCACTTACCAACATGTGACTGAAATAATCCGTGTAATGGTCCCTTTTTAGGAAATTATGGGTCAAAATCGAAATCCATGTTGAAAATCTTGCAAGACGTATTTTAATTCTCGCTGCGCATGACGTCATCTAAATCTCATCCCTTCTAGTCTACGCCGAAGGCAAAATGATTATGAAGGAAAAACTGTGTGCGAGCTACACGTTCATAATGGCGTTATCACAGTTTTTCTTCATAATCATTTTATCTGGAAAATTGTGGGTTTTGTATAGATCTGGTAAAGCCAAAAATAATAAATATATATATTCATACTTTGTGCATATGTATTTTCTTGCATATTAATTTCATTTTCAGGCTCTTTTGATGCGTCAAAGTGTGGTGTTTGAGACGGTGCCTTCCATTAATTACTAGCTCTGCTAACTGTTCCTCCTATTATTCATATTGCAGGTCAAGATCAAGGTCCCGTGGAAGATACAGGTAATGTGTTATCATAAGAAAGGGCTACATACACAAAAAGCTTATTATGATCGATCTGACTTCCTTCCTGATTTAAAATGCTTGATTTATATTGCAGTGTGTTAGTTGATTTAGCAGCTACATGCATGTACATGTATACAAGCTTTTTACTTTTGCTATCAGACTTGGATTACCATGGTTTATTGCATCATTGTTTTTTGTTGCAAAATAATGTATTTCACATTAATAGGCAAACAGCAAGAAAAGGTGTAAATGGAATTCACAATTTCTGTTGAATTCTCACGTGCCTACGGGCCACTTTTTCAAAATCATTTTACATGTACATGTATGTCCTAGTTCATGGTGAATAAACATCCCAGTGAAGTGCATCATACTAAAATGTTAATGCCCTTTTTCAACTTGAAGATGTCCATGGACTTGTACACAAATACATGTGAGACAGTGAGATGGTTTGAAAAACTGGCCCTACAGGTACATGTACCAGTAGGTGATATTTGACACGTGAAATGAAGTGTAAATCTTTTACTTGTAAGTTTGAGGTAGTGAATTCATATTAACCTTCTTTTTCCTCTTCATTATAGGTCCCGTTCCCGATCCCCACGCAGACGTAGACGCTCGTATTCCCGCTCTCATTCCCGCAGCCGATCAAAGTCTAGGAGTCCTTCACCTCGCAGGGCTCGAAGCAGGTCACACAGCAGATCCAGATCTCCACGCCACTCAAAATCTGGTTCACCGCCAGCGAGACGTGATAGGGATTCACCAGCGAGACGTGATAGGGATTCACCAATGAGACGCGATAGGGATTCGCCAGTCAGACGCGATAGGGATGATTCTCGCTCCAGATCTAGATCGCCTGATGAAGAGTAGACTAACTGCAGCTCATAGGGAAAGCCGTCGTCCCTTTTTTGAAATACCAAGATAGGGTGATTGACTGTCTTGACTCTCTGCCATGAAATGGAGACTCGGTTTCCGTTAGAAGATTCTTCTGCAGTATCTTCCAGAATAGATGCAGTAGATAAATGGTAAATGCCTGTTAAGGTTGCATCATTTTCATTGTTGGTCATTTTATATTTGTTTATGTAAGGCCAAATAACAAAGTGTTTCTCATCCCTGTCTGCCTCCTTTTTTTATAAGATAAGAAAAAAAGCCTGTGATATACATTTTGTTTAAATAGCTTCTAAAGTGATACAAATCATTTGTTTTGTTGTACATGATTGCATCAGTATACTCACATAGCACAATGTCTGTGAATAAATAGGCCTGGCCAGCTATAATTAGCAGCATGGCAGCCATCTTGGAAAAAAATAGCTAAATATAGTAAATAGTAATGCCCTGCCGCCTCCTTTTTTTTAGTCCGAAGAGAAACACGTTATTTATGTTATTTGGCCTTATTGCTGTAGGTGTTTTTTTTTTTTTTTACCCCACTGTACTACTTGTAGCTTTTTGCTCCCTCTTGAAAACAATGCCTAATCGGTGACCATTGAGAGCCAAGTTGATGAGATAACCACCTGTCCAGTGACCTTGCAGGGTGGTCTAATCCCTCCTATAAACTAGTACAGATGGCCTTTAAATACTGCACCTAATCTTCATTCGCTATCAATTCCTCTTTTCAATACATTAACTTTGCTTTTTCAGTTTCTCAATTCACATCTGGTTCAAACTCAAAGTGGCAATATCAGATGCAAATAAAAATGCAATCTACTCTATTTGAGCTCTGCTAGATTTGATATCAGCTGGCCTTTTATAAAAGATGAAGAACAACAAATATATATTCCGTGGAGGAAGTAGCATCTGCTTCTGATTTGCAAATCCTGATATTGGGTTTACACTTCCAATGTGCCAAAACTTTTGAGCGGTAGTGTACATGTTTCTACACTCTACAAGTGTGAAACAAAGCTGATGTTGAAGATTTTCAAGGTCCATTTCTATTAAGCATTATTCTTTGTGCTTAAAAGATTTTTTTTTTTAATTCCTCGGGCATCAGATTTTTTATTAGGGGGTAAGGTTGGAAATTTCTATTTTTAGGAAAAGCCTATTTCTTTATATCTCTTACATTTATCGTGCATCCCTTGTTACTCTTTATATTGCATGCTACATTTTGTTATGTCTGTTTTCTGTTTCTCTTGTCAAAGTATAACAGCATTTACAATGTACATTTACAGTGCGTTTTCAAAAGGTTTTCGTCCACAGATGGAATAAGTGACTGAGTGTAACAATGCATGTTTATCTTTTTATAAACATTTTAATCTTTACTAGTTCAGAACAGTGTTATATACAAAGTGCATGTTTGGATCTTGCGTGAAAAGTTTCAGAGTTCTCATTTAAATGTACATGCCCAATTAATATCACATTGATCATGAACAAGAGTAATTACAGTGCCTCATGGTATTTAAATGTACAAAAAACACACCAACTTACAAGTATTGCAAACCAAAATAGCTCATGAGAATTCCAGAAGGAGACTTTGATTTTTTGTACTAGAGTATTGTTGAAAGTGCATGCATTATTGCATTTATAAGGAAACCTGCTGCTACCATGTAAATATATCAAAAATCTGTGTCTTTTCACATTACAGCAGATATAACTGTACATTAATTGATTTCTCTCTAATTCGTTAATTTGTTCAAGCAGGAGGTTTTTTACCAACAGTTTTGTTATTCAGAATAGATTCAAATTTCTCTGTTGTATAACTTGGACTTGGACTTAGAATCCCTGATGGCAATTATTTATGTAAAATAATGTACATTATGAGTATTCGGATTCACCATATTTCTATTAAATCTTGGTGGATGTATTATCCAGCCATGTTTAAGTACAGTAAGTTATATAATATAGAATAAAACCTACCGGTATACATAGGCCCTGCAAATTCCACACTAAATTTGTTGTTTTCATTTGGGGGGGGGGGGGGGGGGTCTTGAACAATTTAATGTTTGTGGGGTCCCCTCCTTGTTCAAAAAGTTTACTAATGTATACCCCATTACCCCTACTTATGTTGGGCCCTGTTATACAGACTGAATATTATTGCGATACAATAGCCCCCCTCCCCAAAGGGAATTTTTTAAAGTTATTTATTTATCAGATACACATGAAGGTTGGAAGACTTGATAAATTTGTAATGTGTACCGGTAATCCCCTTTAATCGTTGTATTATCCTTTGTGGTGTTATAGGAAAAAATAAATACCAGTCTTCTTTTTTATGCTAACACTCGATTCCTTTTATTGTTTTCTTCTTACATAGCCACCAGTTATTGCCTGAAAGTATAGCGGTGGTTGGTGCAGTAAAAAGGGGGTGTTAGAATGTGCAGTTAAAGGTGATGCAGTCAGTCAGAGGCAAAGCTGTTTGCTGTAGTCAGTTTGTGCAGTCCAGTCTGATGGCCTGCCTGCCTGCCTGTTTCCAGTGCGTGTATGGTGCACATCAGTGTAGCTGTGTAGCAGCAGGCCCTGTGCAGCTAGCTGTGTATACCAGTAGAAAGAAAGCTGTGTAACCGGCCATGTGCAGAGCTTTGTTTACGGCACTGGGGAGAAGAAAGAAGTTGGTGGTGTTGGCGAAGAAATTCAAGAGCAAAATTGCAGAAAATGGGCTTGCTGTCGTGTTAGCTGTGCAGAACGGCACTTGAGCAGATAAGCTGTGCGCCACCAATTTCAGGCACTAGGGGAGAAGAAGCAGGTGAAATCAAAGAGCCAAATCTTGAAGAAAGAAAAATCGGTTCATTTCTGCCTTTAATTTTGGACCTTTGTTTGGAGGAATCGTAAAGGAAATACAGTACCATAGTTGATGAGATGAATATCTGAATGCTGTCAAAATTTGTGAGGTATGATTTTGGTTGTGAAAGTAACACCGAAGCTGTGACATCATAAAAAATGTATTTTTAGAATATCTCAATTTTCTTCATTTTCCAAAAGAGCATCAGAAATTATGTCAGAATGTCGGATACTAATTGAATATGTTAAGTATTGGCTGAGATATGACCATCTCAATAAATAGATGTCCTATAGGAAGGAACTCGAGTATTTTGATCTGGCTCGTAATGTTATGAACCAAAGCAATATAACACTGAGTTCCTATTGGTAATGTTTTTATTCAGATGGTCATATCTCAGCCGATACTTAACATATTCAATTGGTTTTCGACATTCAGACATTATTTTTGATGACATCACACTTCACCACTCTATACAGAGTATTCCCTTTCCATACTATTTTTAGCACTGATCATTTCTTTGTTTGATTAAGGAAAAGGGCATGTGATTTTCAGATATTTTCCAGACATACAAAAGCAGAAACGAAATTGCTTACAATGCCCTGTGACTTGTTTTGAAAACTTGACTGAAACTTTGTAAGTACCAAATTTGTAAATGAATTAGAAAGAATTTGTAGGCTCATTTGATACTAATTTGGGGTTATTCCAGGCCTGTGCAAGTGTTCATACAATGGATCACCCTACACTTTTTTCTCCTATAAGTTACACTCTTTGGTATTCAAAGGCAGTTTAATAGAACAGTTAACAAGTCTTCATGCCTGGAGTGTGATGCACACTCATATTGGATTAAATACCCAAATTACACACAAATGCCCTTTTTGTTTAAATAAACATGCTGATACTGCTTTAGTTGACTTCCTGTCTTCAAAGATCCCATTTTTTGTTTCCCTTGAATATGGTTTCTCATTGAAACATGTACTCGGGGGAACCTGTCTACAATGACCACTTTTTGTGTTTCCCTTGGGTCATCGCTATACAGATTTGACTGTATATATACATTGTCAAGTATATTAAAGAACCAGCTCTCCTGAACTAAATCCTTGTCATGTGTCTCTCTTTCAAGAAGGTAATCTAAGAATTAAAAGGGTAATGACTACATTAGGTGTTCTGAAATCTCAATATTTATATCTGATTTTTTTTATCATTAAAAAAAAAATCTTCAATTCAAGCATGTTGAAATAATCAGTTCTTTGTGATAATATACATGTAAACTGTCCAAAAGCCTATGTGTGCATGTATGAAATGACCAATTTTGCATGTCAGTTTCAACCCTCATCTACATCAAGATGTACATTGAATAGGATGTCATGTTATACCAGTCATGTTTATATGATCGATGATCTTGCATAAACATGCCTTATATCTCAACAACTAACAGCAGTTTGTACTTTTAGTCACTTAGGTAACCAGATGTTAAGGGCTTTGAAATGGTTAACAATGGACAAAGCAATCTCATGTGTTGTTCTTATCTAGGACGAAAAGTGCCTGTGGGGCTATGGAGGGGGAATAACTCTTTGAAAATAAGAATGTGTAATTTTAGCATTGTTACGGCCTAGTAAGGTATAGAGACTTGGAGAGAAAAGAATGTGTTGAAAAGAAGTAGGATCTCTAATCCCAGGATGTACAAGAGTGGTTATTCAAAAAGAGTGAGCTAATCAGAGAGATCTCTAATCCTAGGTTGTAATTAAAGAGTTGGTTATTCTGGAGGGCAAGAATGCTGTGAATAGAAGGATATATAATCTGAGGATGTGAAGTGACAAGGAGTCTTCCTAAGAGAAAAATGATGAGAAGAATGTGTAATCTGGGTGTGTAAAAGTGTGAAGATTAGTTCTTCAAGATGTGCCTTGAGTAATGATTGCTTTGAAAAGGAGAATCTGCAAACCCAGGATCTTGAAGGACTGATTTATCATATTTTTAATCTTGGAGAGAAAAATTACATTGATAAGGGGCTGGTTATTCAAGAAATCTCTTTAGAGAAGAATGCCTTGATAGTAACATTCATGGCCAATCTCCCTATAGATAGGCGTGTCCAGTACATTATAGTTTGGGGAGTTGTTGAGGTTGTAAGAAGGTTAATATGGTCTTGGACCAAGATCAGGGTGATTAAATTTATAATCTTATATGTCTGAAATATGGTAAACAATTAGTTAACAGTGCATTTATTCCTATGGGTTTTCAATTTTCATGGAAATGAAAATACAAAGCTTGACCAGGCGGACGCGCATATTTTTTTTTACGCATCCAGTTCAGTCAAAATACTGTGCAAACGACTAGAGACATTACCCTTGGCAGTATTTTTGGATTGCTGGAGCTGTACATGTGTACATACTCGTTATATTTTTGTTTCTCGTTGAATCTATCCTTTTCTCCTTCGTTATGTACTATGTTTCTCCTTCAATCTATCCTTCAGTTCTCCTTTGTTCTCCTTTATTATATCCTCTTTCTCTTTCGTTTTACTTTTTCTTTGTTTCTCCTTCTATCTATCCTTTTCTCCTTTGTCATCTATTTCTTTGTTTTTCCTTCAATCCTTTTCTCCTTTATGCTTTGTTTTTCCTAAAGTTAGTCTATACCCGAATCTATCATCCTCTTGGCTCTTCCGTTATGTATTTCTATGTTCTTCCTTCGACTTATCCTCTTCTCTTTCCTTTCCTTTCCCTTTTCTAACATCTTCCCCTCTCTGGGTGTAGATATGCTTGCACATGTAGTGCGCTGATGACTATAGACTCTAGCTTTCACCAGAGCACTTCTAGGATTTTTTTGCGAAAATGACTAAACAGTTGTGAAAAAAAAATATGTGCGACCAGGACATGCACCATGGGATTTCTTTAATTTTTCATTTTATCCTCCCATGAAAGGAAACAATTAAAAAGGAAGCTCACCACACCTCATTAGTAGCTCGAACAACAACAACAACAAATCATAATAGTGGAATGTAAGCTGTAAAAATATAACAATAATTTATTCCAATCTGGACTTGGGTAATCCAGATTCAAATCAAATTACATGCCAAATCCTTATAATTTGAGAACTCTCTCATTTATAGGGCTTATAGCCTCCACTGCTTTGCTTTTCTCATGGTATAGCCAACTATCACCTCCATCACACTTTATATGACATTTTCGCTGTATATTTAACTTTCTCATTTTCACTCCTTCGCTTTCCTCATTAAAGTATTTATGAAATCACTAAAAGTAAATTCTCTCTTTCTCATGCAGTAGTAGAAAGACATCGCATTTATACAAACATTAACACAATACACTTAAATAATTAATTAATGATGCTTTTTGCAGTTGAAATGTAATCCATGTTTCTTTATTTGGCAATACAAATAAATGCACTGATAACAAATAAATAATTATTTACACAAAATAGGTTGTCAATCACTTTTATAAATAACACAACTTGCAAAATATACAAATGTATATCATGCTGTTTGTTCTGACGTATAACTTTATACATGACATGGACCCTTTAAAAACGTATAAGTTTATACATCGTACAGACCATCCAAAAACGTATAAATTTATACATCGTACAGACCATCCAAAACGTATAAATTTATACATTGTACTGACCATCCAAAACGTATAAGTTTATACATCGTACAGACCATCCAAAACGTATAAATTTATACATCGTACAGACCATCCAAAACGTATAAGTTTATACATCGTACTGACCATCCAAAACGTATAAATTTATACATCGTACAGACCATCCAAAACGTATAAATTTATACATCGTACAGACCATCCAAAACGTATAAATTTATACATCGTACAGACCATCCAAAACGTATAAGTTTATACATGGATTTGGAGGGTGCGTGCCATGTATAAACTTATACATATAAACATACGTATAAACTTACACAGTGATCCTACAAATTGACCCTCTTAAAGTGATGTGAAACTTTAATATAATAACAAGGAGTAATTACAGCTGGAGTAAAAGCTTAACAATTTCCTCTGAAGTAGGCTCAATGCCACAACAACCACGACAAATATATATGCGCTCTCCGAATACATGCACATTGATTCAAAAGAACTAACGATGAAACACCCGCGGCCAGTATTGCTACAGAGGATGCACATATGCAATTAAAGGTATTCAATATAATGATAATTGGTTACACAGAAAGTGCTCATGAATGGTATAACCAGGTGTAAGCAAACAGATACACGTCCAAAAATACAAGATTTAAAGTTGCTAATTCCATGAGTGGACACATGTGGACTTTACTCTGGTTGATTTAATTTAATAGAAATATTTTCTTGATAGTACCATATAAAATATGAAAATCAGAAAAGCAATCAGCAAGGGATCAATATTGTACTTGAAGCAGTACATATTTATTACACTCTTAAGGCAATATCTCAAGAAATCTTGCTTGTTGAGGAATGGGATTTTCAGAGTGGCATCGTACATAATTACTAAACAATTGCCTATTTGTTTTCTATGTTTATTGATATAATAAATCAACTGTGCAAACAAAAACCCACAAAGTTCACATCCTCTCTAAAATGTTTTCTTTTACTTTGGTGGCATCGCGCATCAAATATCAAAGAACCAAGGCAGTTTAATAATTCTATTGACTATCCTTTGGAATCTGCCAGATGTTTGCATAAATTATCCTCAGTTTGGACTCCAGCTCTGATAATTCCTTGATTATAACTTTGAAGTATATGATCTTCCAACTACATCATTGATATCAACAACCGTCTTCTGATGCTTGGAAATGAGTTAGATCGAGTGTTTCATTTTGACAAGATGGTAACAAAATCAAGGGCCCAATAGTTGTGACCCGAGTTTTTATCCTTGATAAAATAATAATATGTGGGTTTTTGTGTTGATGCTTTAGAAAAATAAATAAGGTGACGAGTCACGTTCACCAACCCTGTGCCTTTGAAATTACCTTCAAAGTAATCAAGTTCACTTGGCAAGACAAAAATATGCTCTAATAAAAGATAATAATAATAATATTGCACTCTAGTATAGCGCTCATCTATATAGCAAGGTGCTCCTGCATGTATGTTACCTGACCTTAACTAGGCTACATATTTTGGTACAACATAGTTTGAGTGTAGTAAATGTATGTTAAGGTCTTGCCAAAGCTAGACCTTAGTGAAGTGGCCGAGATTTGAACCACATACATGTACCTAATGATCGGTAGTCCAGCCACCTATCTACTAAACTAAAAACACATCTACACATAGACTTAAATACTTGTATTAGATAGCTCAGAGAGTTGCTAAGGTGTGATTGGTCCACAGCATGTCAAGTGATATGGGGACTGCAATTTATTGTTAACAGTTCACGCCCGGTCATCTGGATGGTTATATTGACCAGCTGGTCAACGATAACAGTAGGAGCATACGCGCTTGAGCTAAGACAATGTATTCATGTATCAACAATATTCGTTAATAACAGCTAAGCACAGAGAAGAAAGGCGAAGACAATGGATATCTACTGTAGATCAGACTCTATTAAACTGTTCGTGTTCAGACTTTCATGTAAAAACCATGACTTGGTCTTAATCAAGGTTATCTAATATTATAATAGATATTTCCTGTTATGTATGTAATACATATTCTTTAGCCTACCTAAAGGAGTTTTATTTTCCCTCATGAAAATACAACTCCAGCGGCCAAAAGAATGATATATAAACACCCTACCAGCCATATCTGTATAAAAATATTTACATAAAAACGTTAGTTTGTCACATATCTTAACAAGATTTTTCAGAACTAAATGAGGTAGTGATCGAGGTGAGGAAATGAGAGAAACAAAATGCACTAAGGTATAGAACACGTCTGGTCCATGCTTAATACTAGATCTGCATCTAGAATCTCCTCCGAGTCTGCAGCACCCATCATGGCCTCTATTTCTGTGCTGGACAGTGTTGTCTCCTCTACCATCCTCCCATTTCGTCCACATTCTGCTGCAACCCTTGCCAGCAGTCCTGAAAATATAATAGAGAAAAGAATATTTAATTTTGTTTGTCTGGTGAAGCTTGTGAAGAACCAAGTTAT